GCTTAATGATTCTTTGGGAACTGTTAAGTCCCGCCTGATTAGTTCTAGTTAGTTGCTGTGTTGGTGCTTGGGGTTTCCCCCCTTTTTCTTCATCAAAAAAAAAAAGAAGAAAACACCTAGCTGAACCCTTAAAAGTCTAATTCCAAGGGTCCCACCAAGCATGACACATTATATATTTATTTATCTACTTATTTTCCATCTAAGCTATTTAAATGAATTTAAAATGAACTGGTATTATTATACTAGATGGTTTGGACTGAAGAGCTGAGTGGAAACCTTTCATATTAGCAGCAGGTTCATACTTGCAATTACTCGTTGAGAGGAGAGAACCTCTTTGACTGAGGTCAGAGGTGGATATCATATCACTATAGGGGTTTTTCGTCAAAGGTCAATGTAGTAGGAGGGCATTATTTCTTTCTGATATGAAGTTCATCTTTGATCATGATGTAAATGTTAATTTGCTGCAGGTTTATAGCCATTCAAATGTCTAAAATTCAGCATTGCATATTGGATTCAAACATCTTTTTAATAAGAGAGTTATCCAAGAAAATGCAGCACCACAGCAGTTTACCCAAAAGTAAGAAACACACATTTTCCTTTCCATATCAGCACAGATTCAGTGAAGCCAACAAGCAAAAATTGTACATGCAAACACAAGGAACAACACATTTCAAAATGCTCTCAATTATGCAGAGTAATTGTCTTGTCATCTCCATTTTCCATATCAGCAGAAATTAGAGTGCCCAATCTTTGACAAGAAGCTCTAAACCAGAAACTTGGAAATGTCAAGAAGCCCCATACAGGAGAATGCTTGACAATTTATCCTCACAACTGCACCCTCTGTCTCTCTGTCCCTCTCAGTTTCAAATTGTAATTAGCTAGCACCCACCAATCCTCTTCCCCCGCATGAAACAATTTATATTACTAAATCTAGACTAAACCACAGTAGAGTGGGTCATTTGGAATATTAGGTAAACCCAATATCATATCTTCTGGTAATTAATTTAACCAAGCTCAAAACAACAGATGTTTTTTTTAGTATAAGCAATAGGAATTTCTCTCACACACACTACCAAAGTGTTATAAGAGTTCGAACTTGAAAACATTAATTTGCAAATCAATGCTCTTTTCCGCTAAACTAAACTCTAAACAAGAAAACTATCATTTGCTGCAAACCCATAAATTTTAATTAATTTCTGAAAAATTTGGGTCCCCAGGTGGCCAGGTCTTTTTTCTTTTGACCAGGGTCCCCTCCCCTGCTAATTAATTTAAAGCCCCAATAAGCTTATTCATCTCTGGCTGGGCCTAAATCTATCCAACCAATACAACAAATGACTGAAATTACCACCAAAACAAGAAAAAAGCAACATGTTTTTGGTTCGCATGCAAACCTTGTAATTTTGAAACTAATAAGCCATGTAGAATTTCTTCATTGGGGAAAAAATTGAAAGAAATTTCGCAATCACCGCATCAGTCACCGGTGAAATTTAAGAACCTTGAGTCAGAGCAGCTAGTCAACCAAACCTGTCCGACTTCTGTTGTCCTCCAACTGTTACACTTCCTCCCGACGTCAGATTTTTCCGTTTAACTTAACGCCTTAATCTCCCACTTCACTTGCTCCACTTATTAAACCCATAACATTGACTGGTGCCTGCCCCTGTTTTCTCCATCCCTCCTCCATTTCATTCACTACTCTCTCTCTCTCTCATGGACAACAAAACAGGAGGCAGAGTTTGAGAACTGAAACCCAGTTGCAGAAAAAGAAAATGAGAATCTTGTTGAGGTTTTTGGTTCTTCTGGTGCTGATTGCAACATCAGAATCCAAATGCAACAGCACAGACCAAGAACAAGTCTCCAAGGCTTTCAAATCAGTCGCAGGTTTCAATCTCTCTTGGCTTCATCAACAACAAGGATATCAATCCAACTGTTCAAGCCCGCCCATCACAGAAATAAAGCTCCCCTCCAGAAATCTCAGCGGGATCATATCATGGAAGTACCTCAGAAACATGTCACAGCTGAGCACCCTTGATCTCTCAAGCAACAATCTCAAAGGCTCTGTTCCAGGTTGGTTTTGGTCTCTTTCAAGCTTGGTCCAAGTCAATCTGTCCAAGAACAGGTTCGGAGGGAGCTTTGGGCTCGAACCCATCTCGGGAAATGGCTCCTTTTCCTCGGTTCAGGTGCTCAATCTCTCAACCAACAGGTTCACCAACTCTGTTCAGCTTTCGGGTTTCCCAAAGCTTAGAGTTCTTGACCTTTCTCACAACGATTTGGGCACTCTGCAACCATCTGCTTTCGCCAACCTCACCAATCTCAAGCACCTCGACATCTCAAGCTGCAAAATTTCAGGCGAGTTGAAACCCATCTCTGTTTTGCGCACATTGAGCTACCTAGACGTCTCAGACAACAGCATCAATGGTACTTTCCCTTCAGATTTCCCTCCCCTTAGCAGCCTCAAATTCTTGAACATTTCGTTCAATAACTTCACAGGCATAGTTGGGTCAGAAAAGTACCAAAAATTTGGCAAAGCCGCTTTCATCCACGCCGGGAAAGATCTCACCTATTTCAACACTTCCAAAACCAAAGCCCCAAGCTTTCACAATTCCATCGCAAACCCACCTCACAAACCCCTCCAAAAACACAAACCCACAAACCAAATTAAACCCATCCACAGAAAACCCAAAAAGACTCTGACTATTATCCTATCTTCTGTATCTACATTTTTAGTCCTTGTATCCGTAGGCATTTGCATAGCGTACAGATGTAGAAGAAAGCAAGTGGCCAAAAAGCACAAATGGGCAATCTCAAAACCGGTCCAATTGGTCCCCTTCAAGATCGAAAAATCAGGGCCCTTCTCTTTCGAAACAGAGTCAGGGACTTCATGGGTTGCCGACATCAAAGAGCCAACTTCAGCTCCGGTGGTGATGTTCGAGAAGCCACTGATGAACCTCACCTTCAAGGACCTGATCGCTGCCACGTCACACTTCGGCAGGGACTCCCAACTCGCAGAGGGCAGGTGTGGGCCCGTCTACACCGCCGTGCTCCCAGGAGACCTCCACGTGGCGATCAAAGTCTTGGAAAACGCCAGAGACGTTGATTATGATGACGCGGTGAACATGTTTGAAAATCTGTCGAAGCTCAAGCACCCCAATCTGTTGCCTCTCTCCGGTTACTGCATTGCAGGTACTGTACAGTCACTCTCATCTTCCATACCAAACGCATTTAATGAAGCACACGGGTTTTTATTACAGTGTCGTAAATGACAAAGTCCGTACGTACGACACTGTTTTTGGCAGCATCGTCACGTAAATCTAGTTATTAGCACAGCACAGAACAGGCTATGGTTGCAAAACATGTAAATTTGTGACGGTGCGAGTTCTTTACACCGAATGGTTTCTCCAATTTTTGTTTTTGGCAGGGAGAGAGAAGCTGGTGTTATACGAGTTCATGGCAAACGGAGACTTACACAGGTGGCTGCACGAGCTTCCAACCGGGGAGCCCAACGTAGAGGACTGGACTGGTGACACATGGGAGCAATACGGGGCCTACTCACCCGAAAAGAAGGGTTGGCTCACGCGCCACCGCATTGCTGTCGGGATAGCGCGTGGAGTGGCGTACCTACACCACGCTGGGTCCAGGCCCGTAGTCCACGGCCACCTCGTAACTTCCAACATATTGTTGGGGGCAGATTTCGAGCCAAGAATAGCGGATTTTGGGTTGCGAAATGTGGGAAGCCGCATAGATATTGGCGGCAGTGGGGCGGAGACGGATGTGTATTGTTTTGGGGTGGTGTTGATGGAGCTGTTGACGGGGAGGACCGGGACGGCGGAGATGGTGGTATGGGTGAGGAGGCTGGTGAGGGAGGCGCGTGGGATGGACGCGCTGGACGAGAGGTTGAGAGAGAGTGGGGAATTGGAGAGGGAGATGGTGGAGAGTCTGCGAGTTGGGTACTTGTGTACGGCAGAGTCACCTGGGAAAAGGCCCAGCATGCAACAGGTCCTGGGTTTGCTCAAAGACATACATCCCAGTCCCACTCTCACCATGGGCTTGGGCTAACTCCACTCCTCCTCCTCCTCCTTCTCCTCACGCGCTATGAAATCGCGTGGAATTGGGAAATTAGAAATGAAAACGAGATGCTTTTTTATTATTTATTTTTCCTCTTTTTAATATTCAAGATCAAAGGGTGAATGAAGGGGACCACGTTTGGTTGTCTCAAATTTAAGAATTTAATTATTTTATTTTACACATTTGTGACATGGATACAAAAATCTAAAGAAAAGATAAAGGGTTTTGGGCCCATGCATGAAAGCATGGGCGGGAATGGTGGTGGGAGAGAGATGTTGAGGTTTAGGTGAGCAGAGACTGCGCAGAGAATCCCACTTATTGCTTGTCTCTTCTTGTGGATGGGTTCTCATCATCAACACTTTACCTTTTATTTTTTAAGTTTCTTGAGTTTTCTTTTTCCCCTTTCTTTTTGTTTCTACTGTCTGCTCTGCTTTATTCTTTTCATCTTTTTGGGTTTTTGATTGTTTTAATTTCCCAAGGAAAAAGAGAAAAGAAGAAACAAGATATGTTAAGATACTTTATACCTGGACAGTTGGGTTCGATAGATTACCTCTTCCTATGCATGATTCAATCTCGTCTCATCTATGCATGACAGTAATTACGTGTTTAGGCTGCCTTCATTTTGCGAGAGAATTTTCTAATGGAATTTTCTAGTGGGAGTGGGGCGGCGTTTGTTTGGCCCACGCTAATTGGTTTGGCTGTATGTTAAGTTCTAGTTGTTGGATTTATTCAATGATTTGACCCCACGTTGTTCTTGTCGTCAATCTTTTTGGCTATTTTTGTCTGCAGAATCGGCCAATGCAAATTCCATTTGAGGTATTGCGCATGGAAACCCTAGTTGCAATGTGAGCAAACATACAAGTTGACTGATTTTGTACAAAAGTATATTGTTCACGGAAATGCTTCTAGTTGCAAGGTTACCCTAGCGTGAGTTGTTTGTTCATTATCTTGAGCCGTTGATGTATTGTGAGACTCCGAACATCAATAATAACATATAAAGAGAGCTTTGTATATGCGGTGTTGGTAAGATTTTGTTGTAAACTTGATTGATTATGTTTAGTCGCTAATCATGTCATTGTTAAAGCCAAAGTGGAGAGCTTTTCCGAGTCAGAAATGGTGTGTATAGGTCATTGTCCAGCTTTATAAGTTTGAAGTCTATGTCCAAAGCTCAGATAACGCGGTGGATCTCATTCTCACTCCTAGCTAGGTAAAGGTAATAAAAAGTAAAAAGCTTAAGTGGTCGATCGTCCAGTTGTTATCACTTATGATTAAGCTCCATGTCTTTTGATCTGACATTTTCTAAAGTCTGTGGGAACTTGGAAGACTAGAATTAGAAGAATTTTCATGCAACGCGTTATCAAAGCTATCTGTGGAACAAATTAAAATCCAAAAGCAAAAGAATCTGGGTATTTTTTTAAAGCAGACAACGATAGTGAGAGAGAGAGAGAGAGAAAGAGAAAGCTGACCAAGAATTCCGTGCCCTGTATGTGGTGTCTGGCCAGCACTGGCTAATCTTTGATGTCTTTTTAGGATCGAACTATATTAATTTCTTTGATGTCTTTAATAACAAGGTTGGTACATAAGAGAGTCAAGTAAGAAAATGAACGATATTAATTTCGTTGTCACATCACTTAGCTTCACAAGCAACTATATCACCAAGTGTACTGCAAATCCACATCACAATAAGGTGATTTAATTGAAGAGTGTTTGTCAAGTTTGACCTTCTTACCTTTTGGATATCGACCCTTCTCTTTGTACAATCCATCACAGATATGTTACTCAAAATGTATATTCAATGAATATGCAGAACTTGCTATTGATCATTTAGTATAGTGACATCGGTTTTCATTTTGTTGAAAGAAGATTTTAGAGACGACAATTGTCGATTAAACAACAAGTAAACATGCTGATCTCCTAATCTTAAACACATCAAACCTGTATTCAAAAGTTATATTCCTCTTATACCATCACCTAATTCTTAATTTAGTGGTATTTCTCCTCCCCTCGCTCTGAGGGATCGTAAATCAAAAAGTGCCTATAGATTTCTGCTTCTACCCTTGTCTATGTCCGATTATCCTTTATAAATACACGTACCATTTTCCAGTCCTCCTTCTTGTTGGACTTGATAATATGGGCTAAGCCCAATAATCAGGCATTCGAGCCCTTAAAAGTAGATTGCTGTCCTCTAAGCCTTAGGCCCAATTCATATTCTCAAACCTCTCCTAAAATCTCTCAGGAGAAAATGTGTCAACCCAGTAGGCTCAATCGCAATTTGGGTCTCTATTTTAAAGTTACATGGATCCTGGCCATTTCTGCGATCCAAAAGCCTCAAACACCATCGGCGATAGATCTTCCCCCTGCCATCGTTTTCTTACTACATTTCAATTCTAGAATCGAAACCCATTCGATTGCTGCACCTCACTTTACTGCGTGTCTTCCAATTTCAAATTGTTAGTTAATTAATTAGCGCGAATCCACTGTGGAAACCCTAAATTCCCAAATTCTGTCCGCTCCCAAACCCCATGGCCTCGAGAAAGAAGCAATCCGAAGCCATGGCTTTGCTGGTGTCCAATTACAACGATGAGGAAGAGGATGAAGACATGGAGGATATTGAACAAGACCTAAAAGAAGAAGAAGAATACGATGAATATCAAGAACGACGAGAACAGCGAGAATACGACGATTACGGAGAGCTGAGAAGAAGCTCGGAAGATGCTTCAATGGTAGACATGGATAGAATAGTAGCTGGTGATTCTGGTAACGACGATAGCGCACCGCCTAATGCTGGCGATAATGAGAATTTGACTCCGAATGAAGTTCAATTTCGTCATTCAACGCCGCAACTACGACAGCCGGTGCCGTCGGATAGTTTAAATAGAAGTAGGAGAGGGGCGCTTACGATTGTGGACTATGGGCATGATGAAGTTGCTATGTCTCCTGAGCCTGAGGTATTCTCTTCATTTTTCTTTTCCCCTTTTTCTTTCTGGTGGAGGTTTTTTGCTTGCTGTGAAACGTGAAGAAGCTAAATGAAAAATGATTTGGGCGTTTATCATGTGTATGTTTTTTATCGCAAAGGATGATAACTTTGAGTGTTCAAAAAGCGGTTGTCATGTTGGGTTTTGCTTCATCAAATGTAAAATTTAATTCTATATTGGGCTTTCACAAATTATCTAAGTAGTTTATAGCTTATGACCCATATTTCGGTGATTGTTTGATTCATACATAAATATGGGTAGAGGAAAATTTATTCTTTGCTGAACTTATTAGTACGTTTTTTTGGTGCTAATTGATTGCAGGAAGGTGAAATAGAAGGAAGTGGTCGCGTGAGGTTCGGTGCAGATCTTTTATCTGCTAATGGTACAAATGTTGTTTTCAGAGCATTTACTGTTTTCATATTTCCAACTAATGGCCCTTCGTCGTATCTCAAACTTCCTATAATTGTTTGTTGCAGGTGATTTCCACGATAAGACACCTCCTGGAACAGTTCACATCCTAACACCTCTCAATCAAGCGACTCCTCAGTTATCTGAACCATCTCAATCTGATACAATGAACGATACTGCACTTGAATCAGAGGGTATAGATGCTGAACAGGCTGTTGCAGAAGAGCAAAAAGATGTTGATCCGTTAGATAAGTTTCTCCCGCCACCAGTGAAAGCCAAGTGTTCAGAGGAGCTGCAAGTAAGTTCCTTTTAACAGGTTTACTATTTGCAGAATAGATACTGCTTTCCAAAGTTCAGGTTCCTCTAGGGATTTTAAAGTACATAACTGTTCATCTCAGAGCTACCCTCTTAATATAGCTCCTTTCAGTGTCAATTGATAAAGCTTGAACTGTACAACTGCTGCCTTAAGTCGTCCCTGTATAGCTTAGTGCTCTGTGGTTATGTGACCTTTTCACTCAAGTCCTGGAACTCTTTCGAGGCTTTGGCTGTGGCATGCATCTAATGCTTCATGGTTTGTACTTTGTACAGATGAGGCCTTTTCCCACTTCCCCCCAAATTAAGATAAATAGGAAAACTGTTTTGACACGTGACCTTTTTATGTATGAAACTTTATTTAAAATCTGTCAAGCGTTTAGTTCTGATGCTAAGCTGCTTGTATGAATATGGTTTGAAAACTATAAAGTGACAAATGTTTTTTGTTGTTGAAACTTTAGGATAGGTGGTTTTTCTGTTTGAATATAGAGTCATGGATCCCATGTGGGTTGATACATAGAAATGGATCTTTTTTGTTCCAAGAAAGGTTTGAGAAAGAGAAACATGAATTGATCTGGCTATTGTGTCTGCCTTGCAAGACCACAACTAAATAGTTCAGTTTCCCAGTTGGTTCCATCTGCTGGTGATAACGGGTCACCTTCTTCCGGGGACTGTTCACTCTAATGGATAATTCTAAATGATACTTTGTATTTGGTTTCCTTTGCTGATTTAAGGCTGTGGAAAAATTGATTCTTCTAAAGGTTCCAGCATGATAGGCCTTGTTAAAACTAAAAAGCATGATAAGCAAAGATGAATTTGTTCAAATCTATAAGAGAACCAACCAGTAGGAGGCCCTCAAGGATTCGCAGAGACAGAATAGTGGCTTACAGAGTATGTGCCATAGGGTCCTGCAGTTGCCTTATATTACCATTCCTTTATTCCACACAGTCATTGCAAGTTTGTGTCTTTTTTTTCACAAGTCATTTAAATGTCCTGTATTTGATTAACTTTAAATTTCATTTGATTGCAGAGGAGGATAAATAAGTTTCTTGAATTAAAGAGATCTGGGAAAAGCTTCAATGCAGGATTGCGCAATAAGAAGGACTATAGAAACCCAGACTTTCTATTGCATGCAGTGAGGTATCAAGATATTGATCAGATAGGGTCTTGCTTCAGTAAAGATGTATTTGACCCTCATGGATTTGACAAAAGCGACTACTATGATGAAATAGGTCACTTGCAATTCTTTGAATACTCTCTCTCTCCCTCTCTGTGTTACCTTTTGTGCTTCAGTGCTAGGTCCTGTTTAACTATATGAATATTAGTTTTATCATATATGCTCTTTGTCAATTGAGCTATTGTGGTTAGTTTTTTGGGAATATGCTCTCTCTCTCTCTCTCTCTTACCTATTGTGCCTCAGTGCTAGGTCCTGTTTAACAATATAAATATTAGTTTTATCATATATGCTCTTCGTCAATTGAGCTATTGTGGTTAGTTTTTTGGGAATGTGTTCCGGTAGACTTTGTTTGGTATGTGGAGAGATTTGACGAAATTGCAGTAGGAAATTTATGTTTTCTAGAAATAAATGACCTGCTGCCATCACAAATTCCAAGTTTGTAGACTATAATGAAGAGTTGCATATACAATCATGTTTTTCTCTACTGAATTATGTTTTTGCAATTCTGTCGGGTTTAAGTGTACGTCAGCCAATTCGAGGAGAAATGTGGAATGTATTCAACTTTGTTGCTCTCTCACTCTCTCTGTCTATCTGGAATGATTCTCCTTGCTGCTTATGTTTTGTATGTTTTGGTAAGCAGAGGCTGAGATGAGGCGTGATATGGAAAGGAGAGATCAAGAAAGGAAGAGGAGTCAAAAGATTGAATATGTTTCAGGAGGAACACAGCCTGGAATAGTTGGTGCTGCACCTAAAATTAACGTACCTGTTCCAGGTTCGAAACCATTTAATATTAATCTTTAATAGTTAGGAACTTAGGATTGATCTGAAGATCTATGCCCAGTCGGCACAACTTTGTCACCTGGCCTTGGCTTATCACCTTATAGGTTAATTTAATGAGATATCCTGAATTATGGTTCTCTTGTATGGAGTCATTTTTCAGGTGTTTCGACCATGGCTGCTTCTGGATTGAACTCCTTGCCGCCTGCTCCTGATGTCATGCCACGGGACGGTAGACAGAACAAGAAGTCAAAGTGGGATAAGGTTTTAATTTATGGATATGCGTCCTTATCTTCCATATAGATTGTGATAGATATTAATTCACTGACTGTAACAAATGTTTTTTGTCTTTCAGGTAGATGGTGATCGAAAGAATCCTCTTCCCTCTGGAGTGCAGGATTCTATGTCCACTGTGGGGACTCAAGCAACACTCTTATCTTCTGGTGCTGGATACATGGCCTTTGCGTATGTTTTATTAACTGCTTCTTATTTGCTAATCTATTATGAATTCCTTTCCTGTTTTTATTGTCTACTGAAGCAGAGCATGATAGTTTTTTCTGACATAATGACCGCTTGGGATTATTTGGCAGGCAACAGAGACGGAGAGAGGTGGAGGAGAAACGATCTGGTGAAAGGAAGTTAGACAGAAGATCTTGACCCGTTTCATGTATTTCTTCCTAGCAGCAGGGACGGAGAGAAGTGCAGGCAGCATATACACCATTTCACCTTTAGTTCCAATGCCAGGGGGCCTGTATTTTTGTTATGAATAACACATCTTGTACATGGTCAGAATGAAATCCGCTTGATGGCTGTTACAGTTTGAGGGAGGTCAAGGGCTTCATCAATTAAGTAATCAAGTTTACCGAGTTATCGATTGCTTAAGGTCTTAATTTTCCATTGTGGTGCTGTTTAGAAATTGATGAGCTATTCTTTGTGTGAAATAAAAATAAAGGATCCCAAAAACCAAATCAATTATCTTTGATACGAGAACTAATACTGCATTTGACGAATTGGAAATCTCTGTAGATCAAAGTGACAGATTACTCGGGCCGAAAGTAAAAACTCACGGGGTGTATTTTCAATTATGATTTTTTTCGGTAGATGCTAGCTAGCAAAAGCTCTAATTATTAAACTAGAAGACTCGCCTCTATGTACCGTCGATTGAAAACAATCAGTTTTTTGTTATGTTTTATTTGATCCAAAAGCTATCAGATTAAATAAATATGGGACATCAAGGGACCTACTAGTGTAGTAGTAGTCTAGAGCAATTGCTACCTCCAGAGAATGTCCTAAATTCAAGTTATAGTATTCGTATAGTATGTCTGAGTTTATTATGTTATCGCTCATCTCAATAAAAAATGTTCTAAAAATAAATTAAAAAAATAAAATATGGGACATGCAATGGTTATAAAATTGTTGCGTTGTGTTGGAGAGTGTAGTATGGTTAATTACCACAAATTAAGGACGTCCCTTGGGCCTTGTCTCCTAGCATAGCACCCTATAAATAACACTAGCATACAAAAAGTTAATCAAGTCCTTGTGGAAAAATGGGGAGGGAAAGGGACCTACTAGTGTATAGTGTAGTAGTAGTCTAGAGCAATTGCTACCTCCAGAGAATGTCCTAAATTCAAGTTATAGTATCCGTGTAGTATGTCTGAGTTTATTATGTTATCGCTCATCTCAATAAAAAATGTTCTAAAAATAAATTAAAAAAATAAAATATGGGACATGCAATGGTTATAAAATTGTTGCGTTGTGTTGGAGAGTGTAGTATGGTTAATTACCACAAATTAAGGACGTCCCTTGGGCCTTGTCTCCTAGCATAGCACCCTATAAATAACACTAGCATACAAAAAGTTAATCAAGTCCTTGTGGAAAAATGGGGAGGGAGTTCTTGTTGTCCAGCTTTCACTCCCCGCGCTTTTCTTTTTTGGCCCTACCCTTGTAGTCAATCAATTCAAGACTATTATCCAAAATTAATTAATAAAAACATATCCGATTAGGTAACATCACATAATTATTAGGTTAACATACACATTATTAAGGAATCCCAAGTCTCTGCATTTACGAGAAATTGTTAGTTGTAGAAGTTCCTGGACTCGGATTTATAATCTCATTCCTATCTCCTAAACTTAATTTTCCTTTGTTTTTTTTTTTTTTATACTAGTTAAGTTTTGCAGAGACCCCTTTTAGCTGTAGACTCTTTGATGAGTGATGAGGTAGCACCTTCTCTTTTACTTTGTTGCAAATATATGCATCTAATCCTAGCTATGATAAAGGAATCTGAATAGGATATCGACCAAAGGGTTATCAGTAGAAGAAGTGTGATCTCGTTGACGAATTAAGACCTACGTCAACAAAGATAAAAGTAGCCAATAATACACTTACTTACTAACCAAGAAAAATTGGATTGTTTCTTTTGGACGCACATATCACAACAAATCTTCATTTTTAATGTCAAACTCAGATGCTTTGTTCTAGCCGAAAGGAGTGTCCCTACCTACCTCATCTCACTGACAATAACATCATTTTCTCCAAATTATACAGTCGTCTCGTCTTCTTCCCTTCTAGTTTCATCTTCTCTCGACTGGCATACAAGAAACTTGGTCATCGTAGTCAAAGGTAGCCTGTGGTGGACCCACGACAAAATCATGCATGCTTCCACTTCTTTACTTGTTCTACCTCATGTTAAAAGGGGAGCATTTTTCTTTTTAACATCGCATGATGATTACACGACCTTATTAATTCTTTGTACGACAAAAGGATCCTTTGTTTTTGCTTTAACCCCGGGATATGCCAATTTCATTCTTCTTTTAAGATTACCTATCTTTTATATCATATAGCTTCCCCTTTTGCTTACTCTTTTTCTAAAGAGCATACATAAGTCGTTTATGTTGTTATTAGACTCTAAATTTTTGTGCGATTTGCGAGTATTTTATGTTGTTATAATAACCGAACATTTACATTTACATATATGAACGTCAAGTAAGCATGCATGTTTAGTTTGAACAGTACATTCATTCTTACATGTCACGTAGAGTACTTTGATGGTTGAATATACCCAGCTAAGGTGAAAAAAGAAAGAAAAAGAAAAAGAAAAAGTGATAGCTTAGCTTTTCTGCTGATTACCGCTTGAATGGATATACCCCCAGCTAGCTGAGGTCTCGCATGCAGGTTCTTAATTATAACAAGATTCTTACTACAAAACTTGATGGAAATTCTGTTTTCCTTTTGGCCACCTGGGCTTTAAACTATAGTGATAGTGGGATGGGGGGTGGGATAGATTCTAAGTTTGGTATCTTTTTTTATACTTTACACTTTTTTTTTGGTGTCATATTGTCTGGATTGGTGTTTCCTATGAGTATGGCTAGTGTCATCCTTTGGATAACTCATCCTCGAAAGCGATATATATATTTATCTAGCTTTCTCCTTTCTGCTCTCCCTTTTCACTTTTGCGAAAAATTGTTTTAATTGTTATCTTCTTGCTGCCATGGGTGCATGCAATGACATCCTTTATCAAAAGGAAATGAGTCTATATCCTCCTTTTCGTATTAGTTGAGTTAATTCTTTCTCTATCTTTCTCGTCACGTATTATCTCAAATCGTCATTCCCATCCTTTAAAAATGTACACATATAAATGTTACACATTTCTATTTAACCTTTTAATGTATTTTATACTTTTATAGGGACCCTTTCTTCTTTTCTTTTCTTTTTCTTTTGGAAAAGTTCATTAATGGTTATTTGTTCTGGTCTGGGGAGGTGGGTACAGAGCGATAAATACCATGAATTTTGCAGCTGTGGTGGTGCAGGAGAAAAGGGAAAACTCGAGCTATATGTATAGTACACACAGACACAGTGTCTGTATTATTACCAGAGATGGGCAGATGGGCTCCGATTTCCAAGCTGCTGGCTTGTCTTAAGCTTGCAGAAATATAGACGTTGGAGATTCGAACACTGCTCTTCACACGTTGAGGCCTAGTCAGATTCTTCTTATTTAAACACAAAGAAATCAGCCAACTGCATCATCGGGCACAAAAATTTTGTATGCTACTTAAACCTAAAAGCACCCAAAGGCCAAAAAGGAAATCAATAAATTCAATGCTTTAGGGTTTGTTTACAGTAAACAAGAATAATCATTTAAACCCTTGCCTCCAAAAAAGAATATAATCATTCAAACTTTTCTCATGTTAGAAATCATACGAATCTTATCAAACTCTACCAAAATTTGAAAACATAAGTTTGTCCTTTTAATTTTGGGCAAAGGCACCATACAACATGCTCCTGAAAAGTTGGTATTTATTTTGATACGTTGCTGTTAATCATTTATTGTGTGAAGGACCACATATATAGCTACTTAGGTATCAACTGAACTTCCTCATGTCTATAATCTATTGCCAATTCAAATTTATGCAATTCCAACAATTATTCTAACATGGTATCCTAAACCTATACATATTTTTCATAATTTTTGTGTGTGTTTTAATGTGATGTCTTACTATTAAGGTTCACATTATGCAGCATATACAAACCATTAGGCGTTCAGAAAAAAAGTTTGCGTGTAATATTGATTCATGTAGAAGGAAAATGAAAATAACTGCTCAAGGAAAGTTGTGTCGGTTACTTATGTCTCTCTCATTACGTGTTATTTGATGGAAGAAAGAGGTTTTCCTCATGTTCTATTTTGAGTTCATAACTCCTACCTCAGCTTATCTACATTTCCCTCCTAAGAAGAAAATTAGATTTGCAAGGAGAGAATTAGGAATTTTCATTTATTTAAGCAACTAATACTCGGAACGCTTATTTAATGTTTTACCCTTTTAGGTAATTAGATTTCTGAACAATTAAGAAATTGAGTTGTGAAATTTAGTGGGAACAGTGTGGCAGGCAACGGTAACATCCAGTTTGGAAGTTCCTTAAAGGGCAATTTGGGAATATGAAAAATTGAACGGAACTTTTGTTAGTAGTAGTACATAAAGCAGAGAGAGAGAGATATAAACCCAAATCAACTTATTAATAGTGGGCGCCAACAAGTGCACATTTTTCCTCTCACTGCTTTCCAAGTCTCACACTTCAGCAGTGAACTCTCTTTCTCCTTCTCTCTCTATCTTTCTCTCTCTAGCCTTTTTTCTCAGTCCTCCTTTGCCTCCATCATCCATTAGCTTTTCTCTTTGTGCTTTTTTCATTATATTGACTATCTCTCATTCTCTCTAAAATTGGATTCCATTACATTCATTAAGCAACGAAACCCTGAAAGGATCTCTCTCCCTCTCTGTATTCTTTGCTACATTTGGTAGAAACCCATTTGTTTTTAGAGGCAGAAGAGCGTTGTGAAGTGGGCATAAGCCATGGCAGCTCCTAAACCAGAAGAGATAAGCCATCCACCAATGGACCAACTTCAAGGCTTAGAGTACTGCATTGACTCAAACCCATCTTGGGGTACGTTCATTTTTAGTGTTTTCTCAACCCCAAATCTCCATTAATTGGTTTGTTATCTTTTTTTCCTTCTCCATTTTGGTTCTTAATTTTTAATCTTATTTTAAAAACAGGGGAATCAATAGCTTTGGGTTTCCAGCACTACATTTTGTCCGTAGGAACTGCTGTGATGATCCCATCCTTCCTTGTTCCTTTTATGGGTGGCACTGATGTGAGCTCAATCTCATAATGATTTATCTGTCTTTTTTAGATTTTGTGGTTCACTTTCATTGATTCGTATATCTTTGTAACCTTTCCTTTAATTGCAGAGTAGATTCAAATATATTCTGTGTCTTTCTAAGTCCTGCTAATTTCTTGAAGAATAATAAGTGTCATTTTCAGATAGCAAAAAGAAAAAGGCTGTAGTGAATAGCAAAAATGTTGAATAGTAAAATTTGTGTGTTTTACAAAGGATTAATATAGACGATGAATGTGCTCCTTATTTAACTCATTTGATCAGGGTGACAAAGTGAGAGTGGTGCAGACTCTACTTTTTATTCAAGGAATCAATACACTTCTACAAACATTATTCGGAACCCGGTTACCAACTGTGATTGGAGGGTCTTACGCTTTCATGGTCCCAATTATATCCATAATTCATGATTCATCATTGACGAGTATTGAGGACGACCATATTGTAAGCTCAATTTTGATCTCACTTCTGAATTTGATTTGTTTTGGTGCAACTTGAAATGTGTTCTTGTGGTTGCCACTCCCAGGACCTGCTTGCTAATTGGCCTTATTCAGAATAAACTTGATAATTTTGAAAACATGATTATGATTGTTGTATTGTTGCTCACTATATAAATCCTTGCCAAAATTTCACTGAGCAACCAATTACTTAGTTGGAATTCCTTCATGCTCGCATTCTAGAATAAAGTTTCTCAAATCATTTAACTTAGTTTGGTGGTTTGTGAAATTTTGGGAGTATGCTTTATTATTCTTTGGAGAAAAATTAATAGCATTTCATGTATTTCTAGAGATTTCTTAACACCATGAGAGCAGTCCAAGGTGCTCTCATAGTAGCATCAAGCATACAAATCATTCTGGGATACAGTCAAATTTGGGCCATCTGTTCCAGGTACAAATTTTATCTCCGAATCAAGGAAGCAAGTTTTGGTATTTTCTATTTCATAGATGAATGAGAGCTTCTATCTTTCTCCTTACAGGTTCTTCAGCCCACTCGGAATGGTTCCTGTTATTTCATTGGTTGGTTTTGGCCTGTTTGATAGAGGATTCCCCGTGGTATAATAAAAACAACCATTTCCATTATTCTCAATTATTAATTTTCTCGAGTTTGGAAAGATGACAGTATTAACTTTCCCTATCACTTATTCCAGTACTCTTAACTTCCTTCACTTAATAATGCCTATCAGGTTGGAAGGTGTGTGGAAATTGGCATCCCCATGCTTATCCTTTTTGTAGTTTTCTCTCAGGTAATACTAATCTTCCTTCTGTAGTAGCATATGGTAGTTTGATGGTTGAAATTCATTCAATCTTCTTATTTGTGCTGTGTTTATCCTGTTGGTGTGAACAGTACCTGAAGAACTTTCATGCAAGACAGCTACCAGTACTGGAGCGATTTGCTCTTCTCATATCAATCACAGTGATATGGGCATATGCACACCTCTTGACCGCCAGTGGTGCATACAGACACCGCCCAGACGTAACCCAAGTCAATTGCCGAACTGACAAGGCCAACCTCATTTCTTCTGCTCCATGGTTGGTGCCAAAATTAGCTTTTATGGTTGCACAATCCGTGTTCACTTGCTCACTCTCAACATGCTTGAGAAATTTTCACTCAACCAAATGTTTCTGTAAAGTGCATTTTTAGCATTAAAAATAACGGAAGGGTCTTTGTTGTACCTTCATTCTTCAAATTGCTTGTGCATTGAAATGTGACACTGTCATTAGGACACATTTAATTTGTAGATATGTACATTTCTCCTCCTAAACAGGATAAAAATACCTTATCCTCTTCAATGGGGTGCCCCTACCTTTGATGCTGGCCATGCTTTTGGAATGATGGCTGCTGTTCTTGTTTCATTGATTGAGGTATAACTCAAACGAACTTGGGTTCCATTCAAGTATAGATGATATGAGTAAACTTAAACTAATGCTTATTTTGACAGTCAACTGGAGCATACAAGGCTGCATCACGTCTAGCAAGTGCCACAATACCTCCAGCACATGTTCTTAGTCGTGGAATTGGCTGGCAGGGGATAGGAATCCTACTTAATGGACTCTTTGGAACATTGACCGGCTCAACAGTATCTATGTAAGTATTGATGCTTCTTGCTCTTTAATATCTCCACTCAATGGAACCAGACTAATTTTTCGGAAAGAATTACAGAGAAAATGTGGGGCTTCTTGGGAGCACTCGTGTTGGAAGCCGTAGGGTCATTCAAATATCAGCTGGTTTTATGATATTCTTCTCCATGCTAGGTTAGTCCTGCACAAACATATGATGACTGGATGGCATATATATTATTTTTCCTAACACAGACTCTTTCAATCGGTCTTCCACTTTTTAACTTGAATTATCGCTCTGGCAGGAAAATTTGGTGCTTTGTTTGCATCAATACCCTTCACTATATTTGCTGCTGCATATTGTGTATTGTTTGGTCTTGTTGGTGAGCATCCAATTTTACTTTTCTGTTTTAGATTTCATTAAGCATCTCTTCTCAACCTTTTATCTGCATCTAATTGTTAATCTATATTAATGTGTTCTCAGCTTCGGTGGGGCTATCCTTTTTGCAATTCACAAACATGAACTCGATGAGGAACCTCTTTATCACTGGTGTAGCTTTATTCTTGGGTTTGTCTGTTCCCGAGTATTTCAGAGAATACACTTTGAAGGCTTTTCATGGTCCTGCTCACACCAATGCCGGATGGGTGAGTTCCCCTAAAACCTCAGAATGGCAAGAACAGTTGATCAATTTTGAGCCATATTCAAGGGGGTAACGTCATCAGTCATACTAACTTCTGCTTTTCTGATGTGCAGTTCAACGATTTTCTTAATACCATCTTCTCCTCATCTCCGACTGTGGCATTGATTGTCGCCGTTTTCTTAGATAACACACTCGAGTACAAGGACAGTGCAAGAGACAGAGGAATGCCATGGTGGGTCAAATTTCGAGCATTCAAAGGGGACAGCCGCAATGAGGAGTTTTACACTCTCCCTTTCAACCTTAACCGATTCTTCCCTCCATCTTAAGCGGTACCATTATTCCAGTACCAGAAAAAGAAGATGTTTAGTGGAAAAACATCATTTCCAGATAGGGATTAGATCAGTCAGGAACCCGGGTGGAACTTGGAGGAGAAGTCAAACAATGACCCATGCAGGGAAAATGACAAGAGTCCTTCTGCTTCCCTATATTTTACTATTATATTTTGACTCGGATTATTCGGGTTTAATCCAATAAATTTAATTAATTACCCCTTGTGTCCAGTTTTGTTCATTCTATATATTTGATCCTATTTTGGTGTAATTTTGAGAGTCGTTATTTTGACATGGCAAAGCTGAGTTACAAAGATTTGTACTCCACCTCGCAGCTATAAATTTTTTGGTTAATGTTCAGATCTTCTTTGAAATGAATTACAGTCAGAGCGATTATATAAATGGGAAAAAGAGAACCTTTACAAAACTAATGCAGCTGCCGCACTTTATATACCATCCCCTGGAGGAAGAAGATGAAAGAATCACATGTAATACGACACCAAAAGAAAACAGAGTTATCGTTGACTGGACAAAAACAAATGTCAAAACGATTGAAGAACATCCGAAGGGTTGCCAGATAGAGCACAGTTAGTGAGATTTACACATGCACTGTTGGCATCTTGGCTGTCGATAAATGCTCCGACCAAACCTCCTCACGTGCACCCTTTGACCTTCCTCAATCATCTTCTTTACTCTGTCTTCAAAGCTGTTCCACTGTATGGTGCTATTCTCAGACAAAATTGCTGCTAGCCTCTTCTTGTTAGGCCGTAAAGTAGGAGCACGGCCGCCGCCATAGTAGGTTCGAAATCCAGACACTAGGGAGGATAGTTGGCTCCCAGAGTCAGTCATAGCAAACACATCAGCAGTTGCACAGGCAATGAAGTCCAATGCTGCTAACTGCACCAGAAAACCCCTAAATTTAGTAAGGCAACCAATTATGCATGAAGGGTCAAAATCTGTTATCCTCTGAAGGGTACATTACAATTTACAACTAAAAGGAATAAAAATGCTCAGTTACCTTAGAAGAGAAGTTTTGGAAAGGTGCAAGTTCGCTTGGTGTGAGGAGAGTTTCCTTCGTAACCAAATTAGGATAGAGGCTTGTGAAGGAATTCATCCTGGAATTTCCACCGTATATTTGAGATCCAGCTAGATAAATATAAGTTCCATGCTTAAAACCTATACCAGCAAGAACTAGTCCTGCTTCTTCTGGTGTCAATGGACACCTCCCTAACTTTCTCAACTCTCTTGGAGAAACAGGCCTGCAAGTGCCAGTAACACACGGAAGATGCATCAGTTAATTAATGTTGTCCACGAAACAAAACTAGAGAAAATAACAACTTCAGAAGCCAATAGAAAAAAAGTACTTTGAGATCTTCAAGCGCTCAATGAGCAGAGGAAAATGGACTTCCCGGTAGGTTTGGAGTTCCTTTTTCTCACTTTCTCCACCTCCAAATTCACATAGGGAGTAGGCCACCATGTCAATCTCAAACCTCAAGTGTAGAGCGAGATATTTGGACGGACCTCTTGCAGCATCATGCTCTTTTGAGGGACTGCTGTGCATGAAATTTCCAAGCAATTGTTTGTCCAACATACTCAGTGCAGCATCATATTTTCTTATCCTTCTGACCAACAACGAACCAACATGCTGGATTTCGGGCACAAATTTCAAAGCATGAAAGTTACATTTGCATCTTAGTCTCTGCAATAGATTGGAAAACATGTTACTGCATCACCAAAGGAATGAAAATAACAATAAAGCCCATTTTTAACCAACAATGTCCTGCTCAACTCCCATAATAAAATGTCTATGTTCAAATATCCAAGCTATACCTGAAGCTCAGAAGGCAATGGATCAAAGCCTAGTCGATTCCCATATCCCAGTAAGTGAACGACTCTATTTCGCAAGAGAAGGGGTAGTACAACTCTGATATAATCAATGGGTTTTGCTTCCTTCACAAGATCTGCATCAGTAATCTGGAAAGAGAAGAAGGTTATCAGTTTACAAAATTGCTTCACAAATTAAAGTAATCATATGGGAGAACGACATACAAGGCTACCGATTGCTTCAAGGTCTAGTGATTTCAAGTGAGATGGGAGTTCCTTGACAACTTTTACTTCATCCTTCAGTACATCCATAAAATGTTCTTCTTGGTAAATATCACCAAATTGGCTGCACTTACAATGAATAAACCAAACTTAGTACTCTGTACAAATCACTAAATGTGTGCATGCATCAATAATTATTTCAAAACTGCAACATCAACATAGGCTTACTGAGACACATCAAATTGAAGCTTTTAATGATATTTAAAAATGATCAGAAAATTATCTCAAACCTCGGATCATTCCATACATTGCTGTAAAGAAATCTTGGAAGAACAAGAGTAGCATTAAGAAGAGATGCCACAGCAACAGCATTGCAAATCTGTGAGCAATTGAAATAGCCTGGTCAGCCCTGTTAGCATACATAAGGCAATCATCACAAGTTGAATACTTACCGCAACTCGTTGTTGATTGAGACCACCATTTGCACTGACTACTATGTAACCATTACTTTTCTTGTATTTCCCTGAGGGAAGAGCATAAAACCAATTGACTAAGTAACAGGAAGAAGGGTTTTAATTATAGAAATATTTTACCACTAAATAATTTAAGACCTAATACAGTCATTATTAGTTATCTCAGTGGTAGTACTTGAAAAAGAATTTGGGATGAGAATAATCAAGTACCTAGGCTTGGTGAAACTTTTCTGTCTGCACAAGGTTTCCATGCAGCAACCTGCCTGTATGGTTCTTTCCATAAAGTTGACAACTCTGGCTTAAACTCTTTCTAAAGCAAAAGATTTAGGTGAGGAAAAAAAGGAAGATCCAATAATCAAATATAACAAAATCCGAGTCAAAATACTATAAAGTTATGAAGCAAACCTCTGCAAGGGCGCCTTTTGCCAACTTTAGAAGTCGGTCATACATCTGTACTGGTGCTTTTTCTTTCATAAGGTAGGCATCCCTGTCCTCCTCCTTTGGAAACAATTGTAACAGATTAAAAATGATGATAAATGGCATCCAATTGCATATTCATGAGTTGGTAAACAGAAAAGCTAGAAAAATGAAAAATGGAGGAAACTGGACTCATCCTTGAACCTATGAATGAAGATATTTGTAGCTTTAACCAATACTCGGAACATATGGAAGTATGCTTAGAGTGACTGCTGCTAATTTTGACTGCTAATTAGTAAAAGGAGCATGCGTACAGTATGATCAAATGTCTTACCTTAAGGACGGGAAGTTTTCTTATAGCTGAACTATTCTGAAGAACCATAGAATCGAAAATGGACACCAGAAAAGAATCAAGCAGGAGAAGGAAACCCATCAGAGCAAACACAAAAATGATTGAACGGACGTCCTTTCGAAGCCACAGATGCTTTTTCCCCACAAAACTCCCCTTACAAGTAGTATATTTCACAGAATCATTTCTCAGACCATGAAGCAACAACATTTTGGAATTCAAAAGGTTATCTCCCCCTGGCATTCTCCTCCCAACATTAGAAGGATCATAGTCTTTAGTCCCTGACGATAAGTCATCATCAATCTGTGGCTCAGGACGTGGACTTCTTGGGGACCCTTGCTTCCCCATTAGAATGTTTATCTTTCAACAATGCTTCAATGAGCACACCATTACCGTTCTAGTTTCCCAAATGTGTCAAGAAAAATATCAGCCAGTGATGAAACCGAGAGCAGAAAATCACTTCTAGCAACAAGCACAAGAAACAACTCTAGAAGGTTGCACCACCCTCTAAATCTATGATATTTTTGTTCTCCAAAATCGACCTGCCAACCCATTAGATCATGTGAGGAAAATTCAGGTTTGGTGTCACACATTGGCATATCAAGAATGAGAAAAATATATGGTCGGAGCAGAACAATCAAGATATGAATTAAAAGTGAAGCTAAGAAGTAGTTGAAAATGAAACACATAAGCAGAGGAGTGAAATGCAAGCGAAAAATGAAAACTCAGCTTTACCAATTAAATATTAAAAAAGAAAACTAAACTTGTAGACCAAGAATACTCTGTAAGTTATATATGTATGTATACATATTACTTACACATGGAATAACTACATTCTACCAACCAAAACAGACATCGGTTCTGACTCTTGAGCTTTCTGGGTTTCCATTGTCAAAAGGGAAGGGTATGAAGATGGAGCAAAGAGGAAGAAAAGTTTCAGCAAAATGCTACCCTTTTTAGTTTATTTTTCGGTTGGTTTGTTATATTTGGCGGGCCCTTTCAACCAACTAAAGCTACAAAACAGAAATTGGGACTATGACCCTCTGCTAGAATGTAATTTGCTGATATGGGCTTTTTCTTGTTTACTATACAAAAGTAAGCTAATAGTTTTTGAACCCATACAAAATTTTGATTTGAAAATTATGATCCTATGGTTCTCATTTTCTCATCCTTTGAAAGAACCCAATTCTAACAAACCCTAATATCTTACTGTTCTTGAATCGAAATACCTAAATAATAGGAAATTCGTTCTCGACAATGATATATGTTGTATATGTAAATCCTAAATAATTAAAAATATGTATCTAGAAAAAAAAAACAAAAAACCCCCTATGTAAATAGCAAGCCCTGCCAAGATCTGCTATAAGCCCAAAGATAGGCCCAAAAAAATTAAACAATACATCCGATGGCCAGACTGTCAAAAGAAACAAAAAGAATGAGGGAACTGTATATATCTATACAATATATTTGAAGGGAAAACCAAAAGAGAACCAAAACTAACGCTTGACATCTCCTGCGCCCTTAAAAAACTTGATCTTGATTTTGTTGAGTGTGGCTACGGCATCGTGCATACTTATCCTCTCTTCTGGTGATTCTGCAGAACATTTTAGGGCTAATCTCATAATGGATGATAAACAATCCCTCTTGCTCACAAAATCATCATCATCGTCATCATCATCATCTTCCTCTGTCCTAAGTAAGTTGGCATCCACAACTTCATCTATTATTGCATCTGGTAATAGTGAATTTGCAATCCATTGCTTTAAATTCATTTCCGCAGCAAACATCTCATCTGTTGGCTTCCTTTTTGTGAATGTTTCCATAAGCACAATACCAAAACTATACACATCCCCTCTTGTTGAAACTATTCCTTCCCTTCCATACTCTGCATGCAACATGTGAATTTTTAAACATTATATAATATATAATGATACGACCAACTCAATTCCTTCATAAAGACAACATATATATGAAAAATCGAAAGATAGCTGCAATAGTAATCACCTGGAGCCATATACCCAATTGTGGCCAGAGTCATAGTTTGGGTCATAGAATCTCTTCCACCCAAGAGTCTTGAAATTCCAAAATCGGCGACATGTGCAGTCACATCATCATCTAGTAGTATGTTACTCGGCTTCAAATCACAGTGGACAATAGGTATTGAATAACCATGATGAAGGTATTCCAATGCCGACGCAACATCTGTCATTATATTCAACCTCTCCAGGATATTCAAACAACAGTTTTGCGAATACAACCACTTCTCAAGGCTCCCATTAGGCATGTATTGCAGTACCAAGGCTTTGAAATCAATTTGACTGCAACAACTAATGATTTTGATAAGGTTTCGATGTCGAATATTGCTTAGCATTTCACATTCCCTGACAAAGCTCTTGAAAGCCCCTTGTAGCTGTAAATTGAAAACCTTCACAGCAACATCTGTCCCATCAGAAAGTGTTCCTCTATATACTGAGCCAAAACCCCCAGCACCAAGCAAGTTGCTTTCACTAAATCCATTTGTCGCCCTTACAAGTTCATGGTGTGAAACTCTTCTCACAAATTGGGGTAACAGGGTAGTATCTGTGGCAGCTTTCACATTCCTTTTCCTGCGTAGTATCAACACAAACACGGTGGCCACTAAGAGAATTGCTGATATGACCCCTGGAATAATATACTTCAAGGGGGATTTACTAGCTTTCTCTGAATGTGGTTGAAGTGTACTATTTTTGCATGCTGGAACATGGAGCCGAGCTGCACCACAGAGTGCACCATTTGAGACAAATGATTGAGCAGAGAAGTTTTCGAAAGGTCCGCTTTTTGGAATTTCTCCTTGGAGTCTGTTGAATGACAAATTCAAATACTTGAGACCCAAGAGTGCTTCAAGAGACTTCGGAATCACTCCAGACAGATTGTTTCTGGATAAATCCAAGAGTTCTAGGCTTAGCAAGTTACCAAATGAACTGGGAATGGTGCCTTCTAAATTATTATCTTCCAAGGAGAGTCTAATCATATTCTGAAGACCCCCAATGCTGCTTGGTATTTTTCCGGACAGATTGTTATTTGATAAATCTATATCTATCACAACTTTCAATTTTCCAATATCTTCTGACAGAGGTCCTAGCAGAGAATTGGATGACAAGTTTAGGTGCAATATATCTGTAAGGTCCCACAAGGTATATGGTATTGTTGAAGTTAAGAAATTGGACTGTAAGGATAGAGTTCTTAATGTTGCAGTTAGATTGCCTAAGCATGAAGGTATAGAACCAGAGAGTTGATTATCACCCAAAACTAATTCAGCTAGGTTGCCTAGTTGACAAAGTTCAGATGGGATGTGTCCTTGCAACTTGTTGTCATTCAAATACAAACCTTGGAGATTCTGCAGTCTTCCCATTGTTTTTGGAATTGATCCATTGAATTGGTTGTTTCGCAGGTCTAAGAATATCAAGCTGTTCAAGTTTCCAATATCATCGGGAATGTTACCCCTCATGTTGCAAATGCTTATATCAAAATACTGAAATGATGAAGAGAGATTCCCAAATGAAACAGGAAGAGTGGCATTTAATGGATTTCCTTGCAAAACTAATGACGTCAAATTTCTAAGATTAGCCAAACAAGAGAGAATGTTTGCTTCCGGAGTAGAAGTATCGATCCTCAAATTATTCGTGTGTAAGTTAAGCCACTGGAAGGAATTTGTTGAGGAGCAGAGCGTCCTAGGAATAAACCCATAAAATGAGTTAGCAGCAATGTCTAGGGTCGTGAGCTTAGAAGCATTGAAAATGGAGTGGGGAATCACTCCACTGAGGTTGTTCTTTCCTACAAGAAGCTGTTGTAGGTTTGGAAGCCCAAGGCCTATGTTTGCTGGGAGGCTACCTGAGAGCTGATTAAGACCAAGTGATAATACTATTATCGTGGAGATATTGAAGATTCTGGATGGGATGAGACCATGGAGATTGTTAACCCCGAGTGTCAAAATCTCTAAATTTCGAAGATCACCAATCTCATGTGGTATGGTACCTGCCAAAATTCAGCACCCTTGCTAGTTTAACTTTGTAGCCTTAGCAGTGCACTTCAAAATTGGATTCAAGATTTATGAATATAATCAAATAATGATTAGGGTATGCTTAGTACGTTGAACCATTCGTGATTATCTATGTATTTGTTGACAAATAATCAAATAATGATAAAGCAAAATAAGAACAGCAGAATAAGATGAACAGAGTAGACAATATTCTACATGTACCTGTCAAATAGTTGTAGCCACAATAAAACCCCCTTAACTGGGTCAAGTTCCCGATGTTTGTGGGTAAGCTTCCATGGAAGTTGTTTCCAGACAATTTTAATACAAGAAGCTGTCTGCATTGCCAGAACTTAGATGGCAGTGGACCATCAAACTGGTTGTAGGCCAAATTCAAGTCCTGAAGACTTGGAAGATGCTGACATATATTGTCTGGAATACTACCAGTCAAGTTGTTTCCTATTAGAGTCAAAGTAGACAAAGAAGACATGTTGAAGAGAGACACAGGAACATGCCCTTCTAGGGCATTCCACTGCACAAACAAGATCTCCAGCTGATCTAAAGTGCCGATCTCGTTTGGAATTTCTGAAAAATCAACCCGTATACATTAAACTCATGATCATCAAACCTGAGTCATAAGGTTATTATATAGATACATATATATTAAACCCGAGTCATATATATACCTTTGAAATTGTTGAAGTCCAGGTTTATCTCCTTCAGCATTGTTAAGTTCCCTATTCCTCTCGGTATGCCACCTGTTACATTTATGTACCACAGAAGAAGAATGAGAAAAGAAAAAAAGAACAAATAGAAATAAGCTTATCTTATAGATATGTTACCAAGATTTTAATGAATTGGTCTCTAAATAATGATTAGGAGGAGTTAATTCAATATTATAGCTTGTTGGTACGTACGTACCCGATAGTAGGTTCTTTTGCAGATCAATTACTTGCAGTGTAGATAAGTTGAAGAAAGCAGTGGGTATTCCTGAAAACTGATTTCCACCCAAATCAATGTTTCGAAGTTTGGGGAAGGATCCGAACCATGATGGAATTTCTCCTGTGATGAAGTTGTTGTATGCAAAATTAATTAGTTCCAATCGGTGTAAGTAAGCCAATTCCTGGGGCAAGGTACCATGGAAACTGTTATTTCTTAAGCGCAGCTCAACAAGAAAAGATAGGTTGCCTAGGTGCGGAGGTATGGTGCCTGTGAGACTCATGTAAGAAAGATTCAGGACTGAAACTCTCAAGTGGCGGGCACCACAAGTAATGCCAACCCAGCTGCAAATAGAGGTAGTGGTGGACCAGTTGGTCAAGATGTTCTGAGGGTCACTAGTGATATGGGATTTGAGAGCAAGAAGAGCAGATTGGTCTGTGGTGATGTCGGTTTCTGCTGCTACTGCAACAGTTAAGTTATAAATATATATAGAACAGGACGGGACCAACATCAAAATTATTGACGACAGGAGGAGACGAGTTCTCTGCATTTTGCGCATATGGCTGGAGATTTGTAAATGTGGAATTGTTGCCAACAGTTAACACTATATGAAAACCAAGGACAAAGAGAAGTATGTTCATATAGGATGGAAGTTCAAAGTTTTTTCTTTTCGAATGAAAACTTTGGATTTATGATTAAGACTGGCCAACAACAAAAGATTTTATTGACTAAGAGGAGTCAGATAAAGCTGCTTGGAGTTTTTCTTTATCAGATACATCAATCGGAAGGAGGGAAGTAGTGCCTTCGTCAACCCAACTACCATACATATACATATAAAATATGTTTATCAAATTATCAGTACAACACAGAGCTTAACGTGCCAAATGCAGGCCAAGGTATCCATAGACAGTAGATTCATCCACGAGACAGTTCACATTGGGAACTTTCCAGGTCCATTGACATTCAAATGGTGCCCAAAGGGTCGAAGGGTCAGCTAGAAAACACACACACTATGTCCCAATGAAAGAGGGACACTTATTATTATAATAGTCATCAAGCAGATTATAGGATATCAATAGATGATGTTAAGTTTCCTACACTACTAACAAAATCTCTGTGGTTTTAGCATAACGCTTTACCTGTACAATGGCCCTTAATATCCACGGCACTCTCCACAGTGCTGCTACAAGAATTTGCATCTAAAACCTGAAAGTACCCCCCAAAAAAAAAAAATTACTAACTGATCTTGAGAAAAATGACAAAATGGTTGTTTTCAAAATTTGTGAAAAATCTAAATATGAGCAGAGATGTATGTTGGAGAAAAGAAAATTAGCAATGCCAAAACTAGCAAAGGGGGTCTTGTAATTATTACCCAAAACGTACTAAACGATGAGAGCTAGTTTGGAACTAAAGGCGAGGGATTTGCTTCTTATTATTTTTTAAATTTTTATGAAAGGGCTTTGCTTTAGGTTTGTGGGATAATTGGATTATTGGAGTAAACAGAAAGCATGAAGCTTCAGACCCAAAACCTAATCTTTCCTTCCCCAATGCACCAAATTCACCATCTCTATCAAACAAGAATGAGAAATAATTATTCCTCACATTATGGAGTAGTATAAATTAGATTTTCTGGAGGATGAATTCAACAATTGAGTTAAAATCTGGTTAAAGGGGGGCTTCAGAAAATCCCTAACCCTAGAATTGGGATATTGGGAGGGCAGGAGAGAGAGTGGCAAGCGCGAGCCCAAAATCACATGGGGAAAAAGCGCCAAATGAACAGAGGCTTTCAGCCCAACTGCCCAACACTTGGGTTGCTTGCGTCCAAAGCCCAAGGGGCCTTTTTTTTTTTTGGTTTTCTTTTGCAGGAGCCCAAGTGATTGTTTAGCATAATAATTAATTGTTGAATAACAGAACAAAAAATTAATTAATCAATTGTTGCTTCTTGTGCTTTTGGTTTGAACTTAGCTAGATAAAATTAAACAAACAACGACTTCACGAGTATTAAATTAATTAAGTACATTTTCACACATCCTATAAATCAATGCAATAGAGCCCTAATACATAAATATGAGTAATGCTACACTTATCATATTTTTATCCTATATTTCTATATCACATGATGTGGCATGTCATATCATATACCACATCAATTAAATCTCAATGAAGTATATTTTAATAAAGAAGAAAAAAAAGGTGTTAATCACATACATTAGTTGATGTGGTATATACACATCAGCTGCCACATCATGTGGTATAGAAATGTGGCAAGATTAGTATTATTCATAAATCATTAGGACAAAACAACAAATGCTAACACAACACATCTCCTGCAGCATCTTTCAAAAGCTTCATCTTCATTTTACTGAGGTTGACTGCAGCATCTTGCATATTTATCCTCTTCTGTGGTGATTTTGTAGAACAAGCTAGAGCTAATCTCATAATGGATGATAAGCAATCCCTCTTGCTCACAAAATCATGATCTGCCTCTGTCTCTAGCAAATTGGCATCTACCACTTCAACTATTGCATCTTGTAATATTGAATATTCAATCCATTGCTTTAAACTCATTTCCCCAACAAACATCTCATTTGTTGGCTTTCTTTTTGTGAATGTTTCCATGAGAACAATACCAAAACTGTACACATCCCCTCTTGTGGAAACTATTCCTTCTGTCCCATACTCTGCAATATGTATGTAAGTGAACTTTATACATATGATGTAATTAAATTATAAACTAACCTTCTCATAAAGATAAAGAAAACATTTATAAAATTAAAAGATAAAACTAGCTAGCAACAGTAAATCACCTGGAGCCATATACCCAATTGTGGCTAGGGTCATGGTCTGGGTAATAGAGTCTCCTCCACCCAAGAGTTTTGCAATTCCAAAATCAGCAACATGTGCAACCATATCATGGTCTAGTAGTATATTGCTGGGCTTCAGATCACAGTGGACAATGGGTATTGGATAGCCATGGTGAAGGTATTCCAATGCCGATGCAATGTCTATCATTATATTTAACCTCTCTATGATATTCAAGGAGCGGTAATTTTCAGAATACAGCCACTTCTCAAGGCTCCCATTTGACATGTAGTTCAGTACCAAGGCTTTGAAATCAATTTCATTGCAACTACTGATGATCTTGATGAGATTTCGATGACGAATATTGCTCAGCATTTCACATTCACTATCAAGAGTCTTGAAAGCCCCTTCTAGCTCTAGATTGAACACTTTTACCGCAACCTCTGTCCCATTTGGAAGTGTTCCTTTATATACGGAACCAAAACCTCCAGTGCCAAGTAAGTTGCTTTCATTAAACCCATTTGTCGCCCTCAGAAGTTCTTGGTATGAAACTGTTCTCCATTGCAGTTGAGGCAACAAGGTAGTCTCTTCTGCAACTTCCACATTCCTTTTTCTGCGTAGTATAAATACAGATATAAAGATCCCTAGAAGCATTGCTGACAAGATCCCTGGAATAATATACTTCAAGACAGATGTACTCGCCAGTGTACTATTTTTGCATGGTGGAACGTGGAGCCGTGGTGCACCACAGAGCGCACTATTTGAGACAAACGATTCTGCAGAGAAGTTTTGGAAAGGTCCACCTGATGGAATTTCTCCTTGGAGCCTGTTGGAAGACAAATTCAGATACTTGAGATGCAAGAGTGTCTCTAGAGACTTTGGAATCACTCCAGACAGATTGTTTGTGGATAAATCTAAGAGTTCCAGGCTTATCAAGTTGCCAAATGAATTGGGAATAGCGCCTCCTAAATTATTATTTGCCAAGGAGAGATTAACTAAATTCTGAAGACCCCCAATGCTGCTTGGTATAATACCAGAGAAATGGTTATTCGATAAATCTATATCTGTCACAACTTTCAAATATCCAATACCTTCTGAGAGAGATCCAGCTAAAGAATTGGATGATAAGTTTACCTGCAGAATGTATGTAAGACCCCACAAGGTATATGGTATTGTTGAATTTAACAAATTAGACCCTAATGATAGTCTTCTTAGAGCTGCTAGATCACCCAAGCAGGCAGGTACAGAACCAGAGAGTTGATTACCACCCAAACCCAAGTCACCAAGGTTTTCTAGTTGACAAAGTTCATAGGGTATGTGTCCTTGCAACTTGTTATCATTCAAATACAAAACTTGGAGATTCAGTAGTCTTCCCATTGTAGCTGGTATTGATTCACTCAATTGATTGCGTCCCAAGTTCAAGAGTACCAAGCTGCTCAAGTTGCCAATATCATTTGGAATGTTACCCCTCAAGTTGCAAATGCTTAAATCTATGTATTGAAGTGAAGGAGAGAGATTTCCAAGCGAAACAGGAAGTGTGGTATTTAATGGATTGTTTACCAAGTGTAATCTCCTCAACTTTTGAAGATTAGCCATACAAGATAGAACGTTTAGTTCTGGAGTAGAAGTATCGATCGTCAAATTATTCTCCTCAAAGTTAAGCAACTGAAGGTTTGTCAAGGCATAGAGTGTGCTAGGAATAAACCCAGTAAATGAGTTAGTGGCCATGTCTAGCTTTGTGAGCTTAGAAACATTTGAGATGAACTTGGGGATTGGTCCAGTGAGTTTATTTATTGATAAAAAAAGCTCTTGTAGGTTTGGCACCCCAAGGCCTGTGTCTGCTGGGAGACTACCTGAGAGCTGATTACCAGTAAGTGAAATTGTTGTTAAGGTGGAAATATTGAAGATTGTGGATGGGATAAGTCCATGGAGATTGTTAACATGGAGTGCCAACATCTCTAAATTTTGAAGATTGCCAATCTCATCTGGTATAGTACCTGCCATAAAACAATGGGTATGCACCCAACTTTAATTCCACATTTCATTGGATTCTTAGAAGCTTCAGCTCACTGTACATATAGATCATTAATGTAATCACACCACATGGTCTTTTAAAAGGAAAATAAAAATGCAGAAACGATCCTTCTTTTAAACAAACTTGGGAAAATTGGGCATATCCAGTCGAGGAAGGATGGTAATAAGTTCTTGTAAGGTCCAATTTTTGTATTGAAATATTCTCTTAAGCCAAACAAGCTGCAGGTTCGGTATTTGACCTTGTTGGTTGCTTCAGGTAATTTAATATTATATATATAGTATGTCATTAGTTTGACTATCTCCCAACATTTATTAAGAAATCAATAGGTAATGATCAATCATGACAATAACCACATAATAAATAAAATAAATAGAGTTGACCCGGGGCGGTAGATAGTATGTACCTGTCAAATTGGTGAAGCCAAGATGAATGATCTTTAGCTGGGTCAAGTTGCCAATATTTTTGGGTATGCTTCCAGAGAAACTGTTATACGACAATGACAGTTGAAGCAGCTCTTTGCATTGCCATAATTTGGATGGAAGTGGGCCGTCAAGTTGGTTGTAAAGCAAATACAACCCTTGAATAACAGGAAGATGTTCACATATGTTGTCTGGAAGACTACCATTCAAGCTGTTTCCAGATAGAGCCAGATTTTTCAAAGAAGACATGTTGAAGACAACATTAGGAATATGACCTTTTAGAGCATTGAATTGCATCGACAAGAACTGCAGCTCTATACTGCCGATCTCTTTTGGAATTTCTGAAAATTCAACACATACGTATTATACTCATAACAAACAGGCCCAACATAATGCACAGGAAAAACAAATTAATGTATCTCACACCTATTTGGCTATAAATGGAGGATTATCTTACATGTTGTGGTGCAATAATGTTCGAAATTATTATAACGAAACCTTAAAGCTGTTAAGATATGAAATCATTGTAAATATATTCTTTCCTAGCTTGTATATTCGTCGGCTCAAGTTAGGATTCCAGGTTAATTACTAAATTGTAGGATCTAAACGTAGGGTGCTTGTACTAGGCACTGCTATATAAATCGTTGTATATATTCAACGTTGTGAATATTCAAAATATATCAAATACCAATTTTTACAAAAAACACCCTGCAGTTGCATGTCAGCTTTGATTTCTAGCAATATTACTAGATGGAAAGCACATAAAACATCAGCAAATAATATCAGAAGGTGGGAACTTAAGTCAGTCTGTACCTTCGAATTTGTTATAGTCGAGGTATATCTCCTTCAACATGGTTAAGTTTGCGATGTCTCTCGGTATGCTACCTGTCAAATACGTAACATGTACATGTTCAATATGTGCAATTGGCAAGATATTAAAAAGGCACGAAAAAAAAAACAAAGTTTTATGTTATATATTAGTAATGTGTTAATTAAAAGGTACGTACCTGATAGTTGGTTATTGTTGAGATTGGTTACTTGAAGTGAAGATAAGTTGAAGATAGAAGTGGGTATGGAACCTGAAAATTGATTGCCATACAAGTTGAAGGTTTCAAGTTTGGGGAAGGAGCCAAACCACGATGGAATGGTTCCCATAAAGTTGTTGTATCCGAAGCTAATCAACTTCAGCCGGTGTAAATAAGACAATTCTTGGGGCAAGGTGCCATGAAAGCTATTGTTTCTCAAGCGCAGCTCAACAAGAAACGAGAGGTTTCCAAGGTGCGGGGGAATGGTGCCGGTGAGTCCCATGTAAGAAAGGTTCAAGACTGCAACTCTAAGGTGGCGAGCACCACAAGTGACGCCAACCCAGTTGCAAACAGAGGTGGTGGTTGACCAGTTGACCAAGATGTTTTGAGGGTCAGTGGTGATATGAGATTTGAGAGCAAGAAGAGCAGACTGGTCTGTGCTGATGTTGGTTTGTGCTTCTGTCATGGTTAAGTTAGCCATATATATAGAATAAAAGTGTACAAGAGACAACAAGAGGAAACGAGTTCTGTCCATTTTGTGCATGTGGCTGGAGATGTATGCAAATGTGGAATTGTTGACAGTGCTTTCTGGAAAAGCTAGAAGGGAAAAGCAATGAGGAATCGATCACAACTTCAACGATTAAGAAAAATGAGGGAAAAAGAAGAGAAGAAAACAATCGATCCTTGCCAATTTTAATTTTAATCTTAATTTTTTGTTGTAGTAAAATAAAGTATGAACATAATTGATAAAATAAAATTTCATAGTTGTAACATTTGTGTTCTTTTTTCTCTTGACGAAGACATTTGTGGAATATTACTAGTTTTTGACAAAGACTATATTTGACGAAACAACCTATTACTTATCTTTAGAATGATCACTGGTATAAAAAAAAGAAAGAATGATCACTGATCAATAATTCTTAATTAAATTAATATGGTGGTAAGCTTCTTAAATATTTTTCTATACATTAATATAAAAAAGACTTAACAAGTAACTAATCATTATATATGACTTTTTCCTTGGTTGATTTCGATTTCTATCATTTCAGCATATTATACGCCACAAATCCAAAGAGTTGACTATTTAGACAAAGAAATGTGATCAGCGAGCTCTCTAACGCCAAATGACAAACTTCTGGTGGACGAACCAACCTATGAATTTATGGCCTAAAATGTAAAAGCAGAGAAAAAACTAACCAACCTATGAATTTCCTCATTCAGATTTTAGTTGGACATGCAAAATCATAGAAACAGAACTATTTGAGGTAAATGAACTTCCTCATTTTATACATGTGTAAAAGCAGAGGAACAAAACTAACACTAAACAACTCCAGTGTCCTTCAAAAATTTGATCTTGATTTTATTGAGTGTGACCACAACTTCTTGCATACTCATCCTTTCTTCTGGTGATTCTGCAGAACAAGCAAGACCTAATCTCATTATGGACGATAAACAATCCCTATTGGCTACAAAATGATCTTCCTTTGCCCCAAGTAAATTTGCATCCACAACTTCAACGACTGCATCTGGTAGTAGTGAATTTGAAACCCATTGCTTTAAATTCATTTCCCCAACAAACATCTCATCTGTTGGCTTCCTTTTCGTGAATGTTTCCATCACTACAATTCCAAAACTGTACACTTCCCCTCTAGTTGAAACAATTCCTTCCATTTCGTACTCTGCTATATATATGATGAGAAAAATATGATTTTAAGTTCATTGTTCATTGCTTGCTTCTTAGAAAAAAAAAAGAAAAAAAAGACAACATATACTGTATTGGAAAATAAATTAGAAACATCACTTGGAGCCATGTAGCCAACTGTGGCTAGGGTCATGATTTGGGTCATAGAATCTCCTCCAAACAACAGTTTTGCAATACCAAAATCAGCAACATGTGCAACCATAGCATCGTCTGGTAGTATATTGCTTGGCTTCAAATCACAGTGGACAATAGGTATTGCATAACCATGATGAAGCTGTTCCAATGTTACCGCAACATCTGATAAATTTAAATTCATTTCCCCAACAAACATCTCATCTATTGGCCTCCTTCTTGTGAATGTTTCCATCACTACAATTCCAAAATTGTACACATCCCCTCTTGTTGAAACCATTCCTTCCAATCCATACTCTGCATTATGAAAAATCGGCCTAGGCTGCCTGTGAGGGTTTGGGTGGCGCTAGGCGGGTCTAGGCGGGTCTGGGTGCCAGGGTGGGTTTGGTTCTTTTCTTTTGTTCTTTAAGCCTACTGCCTAGCGATATTTCGAACTTATGCACTGCATTCCATCATAACATCTAATATTTGCGAAGCTTTTAGTCTTCTTCCCTATCACTTGAATGATCAAGATAGGATCAAAATCCATCCCAATTGAAATTCTAGCATCCTCAAACATCTTCATCACGTTAGCTTCTTCATAAAACTTGAATGCTAAATTCAAGTAGTCTTCAGCAAGCAGATCGGTGTATTTACCATGGTCTTTCCATTTTTTTTTCCAAATTTTTCTATTCTCAGTCAAATCCTTGGCTGTTGGATCTGGCCAGTACTCTTTCAACTTGATCAAACAAGCTGTCTCCTGCTAAAAATGGGTCAAAGTTGTAAAACTGAAAAATAAAATAATACGGCATTTTTTAATTGTTCGCCATTGAATTGCTTTTGGGCATTTGAAGTTGATCTGCACTTTGGACGCACATGAAAATCATTATATATTGGCCATAGACCATTGATGATAAATTTCTGTGCAACAGGCTCATAGCAATTGTTGACTCCCAAAATGAAGTTCAGCTTAGATAGATGTGGAGTGGTGGATGATGTGTGAAGGCGTGGGCCTTCAGCATGTGTATGTGCCTTTGGGAGGCAAGGCATGCCTTTGGCAGTCAGTGATATTCAACACAAGTAAAATAAATAAGCATACATAAAACAAGGTATACGTGGTTCACCCGAATGATGGGCTACGTCCACGGATAAGGATATTCTCATTATGATAATGTTTGTTTACATTTGAACAAGGGGATTAGACCCAAAGATAAAGGGAAGAAGGCCCAAGGCCTAAGGTACAAAGTCCAAGACCCAAGGGTCAAAATCATTTTCTAAGTAGAGAGTGGTCTTCTTTTCTAGGTGAAGGAGAGTCTCCACCACTTGTTGTGGGAGAGTCCCCTGCACGATTGGCACGGTGCATGCCGATTGGGAGGGATGACATCATGCGGATCTTGCTTAGCTACAGTGCCAGCCCTGAGGGTGGGCAAGGAGGGCAATGGCCATGTGCCTCACATTTGTAGGGCCCAATTTATATATATATATATTATACATGTACCAAGTTGAAGAATATGATTTTAGAGGAGAATAATTTCAATAGTTTGGCATTTGGAGGCCCTAAATATGATTACAAGTGTTTCTGAAGAGTCCAAATGAAAATTATATAATATACGAACATCAATTGCATGTATTTAAGTATTTAATTACCAAAAAGTATTTAATTGCCAAAAGTAGTAATCAGTGAAAGAAAGCCAATAGGGACTAGAAATTCTTTTATTTATCTAAAAATTCTTGTTAGTAGATTATTTAGCAAGGAAATATCAAAGGGGTCGTTTGGTACGGCGGACTATCATGGACTTGACTAAATCCTGGGACTGTCTTGGATTAGCTCGGATTGGACTAAGCTGGATTAAGTACTGACCTATGTTTGGTGTTGTGTCTGACTAAGAAGCTGGATTGTGAAAATAGTGAAGACCTATGTTTGGAGTTGTATCGGAGTAAAAAATAATTATTTTAATAATTAATTTTAATTATAAATAAATAAAATTCTAATATTTATGTTAATATTTGATATTTACTTTTAATTAAGGATTTTGACCTAAAAATAAATAATAATAAAACAAATAAATTTTAATATTTTTTAAAAGCTAAACTATCTTATCTCTTCTTCTTTTTTTCCTTTTTTTCTCCTTTTTCTCCTTTTCTTCTACCTTTCCTTCCCATCCCGTCCTTGTTTTTTCCTTTCTTCCTGTTCTCTTCTTCCTCACGACTTTTGATCCTTCCCTCATTTTTGCCTTTTTCTCAAATTTTCTTCCCTGCCAAAAACTCTTCAGTTGTGATTCTCTCACAAATTTCATCAATTCTTTCTCTAATTTCATCAATTCTTCCTCACGACTTGAGCCCATGGTCGTTGCCTTCCGAGCTCAAGGCCGACACCGTGCGCTATTCTGATAGCCAAACAGAGACCCAAGCCTCGTCGTCCCTGACCCACATGTACAACCAGAGCTCGGCCTTCGGCGACCATTAGCAGCAGCAAGATCTCAACGTGATTACTGGGTTTCAAGCCTTTTCGATGAACTTGGGCTTGGAAGTGGAGGACTTGAGGTCCATTGCCTGGACTCGTGTCTAAGTGAAGAAGAAGAAGAAGAAGAAACCGGTATCGCGTTGGACTCGCGTGTTTTGTTCAGTGAGCTCGCTATTGTGCGAACCGTGTTTCAAGCTCGCTATATTGGAAGAGCGAGCGAGGCAATTTTGTACTGTTGGGCTATATATTTAAGTTAGTCCCCTTTTACCTGCCAAACGTGGGTTTGAAGTACTATTTAAAGCTGTCCTGTCCAGTGAGGCCTCCCAAACATGCCCAAAGAGTGCAAATTAATGTATCCTCATTTTTATTTATTTTTAAATTGGGGCAGTGATTATATGACCAATACTGGAGCCGTGTTTATTTATCCATATTGTATTTAATTGCATAATTTTCTTTCCATTTTAGTTTGTTATATTCCGGAGAATGAAAGAGAAATGGGCCTCGTTTTCATTTCTAGTCTAGGGCCACCCAAAAGTCAGGGCCGACCCTACTTAGCTAGTTGCTCGGTTAGTCACGGTATCAACAGCAATCACTTCCAACAAGGTCTTTCATTAGCATGCAGTAGGTATTACGCCAAGTTATCAATAAGGAGTAAAATTTGAAATCATCGTAGTCGACGTATTTGCCAGCAGCAACGACAGTTGCCATGGAGAGCACAATTAAACAAAGGAAAATTATGTGCGTCATACTTGGGCCGGGTTAGGAGGCAAGAATCACCATTAAACTTTCAATGCTTTGCACCCATCGCACTAGTTGTTTCATGAAGAGCATCAACTATCCATCATGGAAAAGGGACATAATAAATTAAAGGGGACAATAGAGATTCAAGTAGTGCCATAATAGTAATGGATAATGCTCTAAACTACCCAAAACCCTATATATATTGTGTATAGCCGGTCGGCTGTACTTAAAAAAAAAAAAAAAAAACCCTGCCGAGTACAGCAGCGTGGCTGTACTATTTTTGGGAAAAAAAAACCCAAGTATAGCCGCGCGGCTATACAATTTATAAATAAAAGGGACCCGCCTTGTGCTTGTGGCCACGTGTGAAAATAAGTATAGCCGCACGGCTATACTATTTTTTAAAAAACATACAAAACCATAACCTCTACAACAACAAAAACCTTCCTACCATGGGCACTCTGCTTGGCCTCCTTTGTGTGACTGAAGTTCTGACTAGCAAGGACCAACATAATACACACATAAAAACCAGCATAAAAACCAAAGAAAAGCATATTCTTAGAGCCTTAATGTACTCGTCACCACACCACCAGACTTTTGCGCTCATTGCTTGCTTGGGCTAATCAGCTACAGTAGGAGTTTTACCAGCTTCATCCGCATCTCCACCGTCACATTTCTACAATCACAGAGGCAAGTTATTAAAGTATTATTACAACATAGAACTTGGAAAACATAATTTGGTATTACCTCTGCCTTTATTGTAGGTGGCATCGCAAAGAGAAATATTGTGATATACATTTTGTGTCCTTTTACAGCCCAAAAACATATCCTCAATCCTTATGTTATAGTCCCTAAACATTCCATATTTTCCGAAGCAGATTCAGGCTCCCCACAACATCCTCTTATAACACCTGATATTTGCGAAGCTTTTCGTCTTCTTCCCTATCACTTGAATGATCACGATAGAAATAAAATCTATCCCAATTGAAATTCCAGCATCCTCAAGCATCTTTGTCACATTAACGTCTTCATAAAACTTAAATGCTAAGTTGAAATAGTCTTCAGCAAGCAAATTAGTGTATTTATTTACCATGCTCTTTCCTGTCTTTCCCAAGCAAATTTACTCTCAATCAAATCCTTCGCTGTTGGATTTGGCCAGTACTCTTTCATCTTGACAACACAAGTTGTCTCCTGCAAAAATTAAGACAGAGGTGTAAAACTGAAAAAATATAATGATGAACAAAAATAAAAAAATGAAAAATAGTGCTCAAGGTTATGGATGTTCACGAAGTATACAATACCGCAATTTTGAACTGTTCGCCATCAAACTCTCTTTGGGCATTTGAAGCTGATCTGTACTTTGGACGCGCATTAAAATCATTATATAATGACCATAGACCATTCATGATAAATTTCTGTGCGACAGGCTCATAGCAATTACGTCTAGCAAGGTCTTTCATTTGCACGCAGTAGATATTATAGGCAGTGCCGGCCCTGACGGTGGGCAAGGAGGGCAATGGCCATGGGCCTCGCATTTGTAGGGCCCCAAATTATATATATATATACACACACACACCAAGTTGAAGAATATGATTTTAGAGGAGAATAATTTCAATAGTTTGGCATTTGGAGGCCCTAAATATGATTATAAGTGTTTTTGAAGAGTCCAAATGAAAATTATGTAATATACGAACATCAATTGCATGTATTTAAGTATTTAATTGTCAAAAAGTATTTAATTGCTAAAAGTAGTAATCAATGAAAGAAAGCCAATATGGACTAGAAATTTTTTATTTATTAAAAAATTCTTGTTAGTAGATTATTTAGCAAGGAAATATGAAAAGTTGCAAATTAATTGTATCATCATTCTTGTTTATTTTCATATTAGGGTCAACGATTATATAACCAATACTGGAGATGTGTTTATTTCCCCAAATTGTATTTAATTGCATTAATTTTTTCCATGTTAGCTTATTATATTCAAGAGAATGAAAGAGAAATGGGCCTCATTTTCATTTCTAGCCTAGGGCCACCCAAAAGTCAGGACCGGCCCTGATTATAGGCAAAGTCATCAATAAGGTGTAAAATTCAAAATCATAGTAGTTGCCGTATTTGCCAGCGGCAGTAGCGACTGCCATGGAGAGCGCGATTAAACAAAGGAAAATGATGTGCGTCATACTTGGGCTTGGTTAGGGGGCAAGAATCCCCATTAAACTTTCAATGTTTCTTTAAGGGCATCAACTATCAATCATGAAAAAGCGACATAATAATATATATTGGAAACTAAAATATCTTATATTCAATTTCTTATACAAAAACTAAGACAGCAAAAGTGCTCAAGGTAAGTCAATTACGTGTATTATGTTTTTTTTCCTATTTCATCTCCTGTAATTTAGATGATTAGTCAACTAAGTCTCCTATTTTCTATGCTGTAATTTAGAGCTATGTTTCAGCTATGTAATTAGTCATCTTTAGGATTGTATATATACATGGGTTCTCACCCAAGTAAATATATTGAATTATTATAATCAGAAACTCGTTAAAAAAGACCTCGTAAGAATTCGGTGGCTACAATCCAATTATAAATTTGAAATGTTCGCCATTGAACAGGGTTTGGGCATTTCAATAAGGTGTAAAATTTGAAATCATCGTAGTCACCATATTTTCCAACAACAGTGCCAGTGGCGGCTGACATGGAGAGCACAATTAAACAAACGAAACTTATGTGCACCACACTTGGGGTGGGTTAGGAGGCAAGGCAACCATATCAATTTCGCAAGAATCAGCATTAAACTTTCAAATGCTTTGCACCCATGATACTAGTTGTTTCTTGGAGAGCATCAACTATATCCATCATGAGAGAGAAAGATCACATAATAAATATATTGTATGACCTTGCAAGAACTCGGTGGCTACAATTCAATTAGCACTGTAAATACCTTTAAAATAGACTTAATAGAACAAACGATGAGAGCTAGTTTACTACTAAAAGGCACTGGTCTGTAGCCCAACCCAAACATCAACATTATATGGGTTCAAGGTAATCAATTTCTTATATTCAGAGTTTGGCAAATAATTTAATTTTTATGATGTAATGTATACTTTTATTTTTAGAAAAACTATAGAAAATAAGTATATAAAAAAAATTATCATTCGATTGGGTTGGTGAAACTGAAAACCGTTAATTATTTGTTCTATCCATAACTTAAGCAACGATCAAGACAAAAGTCTCAAAAACCAAGCTTGTTTACACACACAGAGAGACCAACAGATAGGAAGGGAGGCCTGGGTGTTGTAATCAGTCGTTTCTTGCCTCCTCTGATACCATACCAAGTAAAAGAGTCCTGACTCTAGCCCTAAACCATGTTATTCAGCCACTAACCATGACTCCATGACAACTTGGACCCTCCGATTAACTAGCAACTAAACAACCAAGTCCCTAAAGAATAGGACTTCCACAACTTAACAAGATAATCATAAACCTAATAAATAGAATAATAAATATTCTTTACAAAGCAGCGGCAAAGCACCCAAGAGGCCGTAGTTGCAGGCCTGCAGCAACCACACCAAGTAAGAAGCATTGAATTTCCATCTATATATTATTGTCTTTAAAATTTAAATAACATTAATTAAAGCGCTGAACAAGAGGGCGGTTTATTTGGGCGGCGCTAGGCGGGTCTGGGCGGAGCTAGGCGGGTCTAGGCGGTGTAGGCGGGTCTGGCTGCCAGGGTGGGTCTGGTTCTTTTCTTTTGTTCTTTAAGCCTACTGCCTGGCGATTTTTCAAACTTATGCACTGCAGGGCTGATCTAGGCGGCGCTGGGAGGGTTTGGGCTGGTCTGGGCGGGTCTGGGCGGCCCTGGGAGGGTCTGGGAGGCACTAGGCGGGTCTGGGCGGAGCTAGCCGGGTCTAGGCGGCCCTAGGCGGCGCTAGGAGGCCCTAGGCGGCCCTAGGCGGGTCTGGGTGCCAGGGTGGGTCTGGTTCTTTTCTTTTGTTCTTTTATCCTACCGCTTGGCCATTTTTCAAACTTCATCTGTCTTTGCTGAGGCCTTGTGCATTAACTGAGGAGCCCGACTTATGTCCCTTAATTGTACTGTGTGCTGTGGCTGTAATTTCAAAACTGTACACATCCCCACTTGTTGAAAGCATTCCCTCATGTTGCAGTTGCCTAAATCAACAATTTCAAGCTCTGCATCAGTACAACTGGAAAGAGAAGGGGTAGTACAACTCTGATATAATCAATGGGTTTTGCCTCCTTCACAAGATCTGCATCAGTAATCTGGAAAGAGAAAAAGGTAATCAGTTTACAAATTTGCTTCACAAATTAAAGTAATCATATAGGTGAACGACATACAAGGCTACCGATTGGTCTAGTGATTTCAAGTGGGATGGGAGTACATCCATAAAATGTTCTTGGTAAATATTGTTGGAAATTTGACTCACATTAAGGTTGCAAGTGATGGAGGCAGCGACCGGTCGCAAGGTTTGGGCGACCGGTCGTTTTGAAGCAGGTTCAATGTCTGAATCGAAAATGACGAGCGACCGGTCGCCAGCTATTTGCGACCGGTCGCCCTAGCACAGATTCAATGTGTTTCGACTCTGCCCAAAGCGACCGGACGCCAGTTCCTGGCGACCGGTCGCCCAAATCGTGCTGTGACGTTTTCTTACGTGTTTTCAACTGTGTTTTCGAGGGCGGTCAGCCCTGTTGGCATACATATGGCAATCATCACAAGTTGAATACTTGAAGTCATGAATTATGTGGAATATCAGTACTAATACGAATACTAATCCTCACTTTTGCACTCCTTTTAAGAAACTTTTTTGAACCATTGGATTAATATCCAACGGTAGATGACCACAATTTCTTGGACTCCTGTGGTCCAAGAGATCAGGACTGTACTAATACAATACTAAACATGTTGGCCATAAATTAGTAGTTCTTGTCTTCAGAGTGATAACCGACCAATAAAGTATAAATTCTTGAGATGGTAAACAATATTTTCTGTGTATTCAAGATAGTAGTAACTAATAAAGTAGAAGTTGTTGGTTGATTTGCATTGCTCTGATTTCTAAGCATATTAAACATCAGAAGCCAGAGAGTTTGACTATTAGATAGAGATAGGTAATCAGCTAATTAGTTGGATAGATCCATACAATTCTTTGTAACTCAAATCTTAGACATTCAAGATAAGCTACAAATGTAACTTGCCTACTTCTTTGGCAAAAGAAATATTATAACAATTCTTTGGATGAGAAGAAAAAAGATATAATTAATGGGTGTTAGACCACGATTGGGATTGCTTTTTTCGCCAAAAACCTGCTTCACTTTAAAGTTAAGCAGTTTAAGCCTGATGAAAAGAGAGCTGCCCAAACAAAATAGATGCAGGAAAAAACAAAAGACAGAGATGCTGCAATGTTATATATGTGATTTTAGTATATATATGATGAAAAGAAAATCACAAGTTGACCTTCTTAATCATCAAGGACAACATATTAAGCCTGATGAAAAGAAAACTACTGGATGAAAAGAAATCACAAGTTGACATTTATCATCATGATGAAAAGAAAACTACTGGACACCTCCATTGTCCTTCAAAAGCTTATTCTTGATTTTATTGAGTGTGGCTACAGATTCTTGCATATTAATCCTCTGTGCCGGTGATTCTGCAGAACAAGCGAGAGCTAATCTAATGATGGATGATAAGCAATCCCTCCAGGTCTCAACATCATGCTCCTGCTTGGTCTTCCCAAGTAAATTGGCATCCACAACTTCATCTATTATTGCATCTGGTAATAGTAGTGAATTTGCAATCCATTGCTTTAAACTCATTTTCCCAGAGAACATCTCATCTGTTGGCTTCCTTCTTGTAAATGTTTCCATCAGTACAATACCAAAACTGTATACATCCCCTCTTGTTGAGATTATTCCTTCCGTTCCATACTCTGCAATATTATTAATTAAATTTACATATATATGATGAAAAAAAATTCTTGACCTTCTTCACAAATTAAGGACAAGATATAAAATTGAAAGATAAACTAGCTTTGCAAGCACTCACCTGGAGCCATGTACCCAATTGTGGCTAGAGTCATGGTCTGGGTTGTAGACTCTCCTACACTCACGAGTTTAGCAATGCCAAAATCAGCAACATGTGCAACCATAACATCATCTAGAAGTATATTGCTGGGCTTCATATCACAATGAACGATAGGTACTGAATTACCATGGTGTAGGTACTCCAATGCCGACGCAACGTCTATCATGATGTTCATCCTTTGTAACATATTCAAAGAATGGTTTTCTGAATACAACCACTTCTCGAGGCTCCCATTTGGCATGTAATTCAATACTAAGGCTTTGAAATCAAGTTCACTGCAACAACTGATGATTTTGATAAGGTTTCGATGACGAATATTGCTTAGAATTTCACATTCCCTATCAAAACTCTTGAAAGCCCCTTCTAGCTGTAAACTGAAAACCTTTACTGCAACATTTGTTCCATCTGAAAGTGTCCCTTTATATACTGAGCCAAATCCCCCACTTCCAAGTAAGTTGTTTTTGTTAAGTCCATTTGTTGCCCTTAGAAGATCTAGGTGTGAAATTCTTCTCCACAGAAGTTGAGGCAACGAGTTAGCCTCTCTTGCAACTTCCACATTCCTTTTCCTGCATAGTACAAAGATAGATACGGAGGCCACAAGGAGAATAACTGATATGATCCCTGGGATGATATATTTAGCTTTCCTCCAATTTGGTTCAAGTGTACCATTTTTGCATGGTGGAACATGGAGTCGGGGTGCACCACATAGTGCCCTGTTCGAGACAAATGATTGAGCCGGGAAGTTTTGGAAGGGTCCACCTGTTGGAATTTGTCCTTGGAGCCTGTTGAAAGACAAATCCAGATACTTCATATGTAAGAGAGCTTCTAAAGAACTCGGAATCACTCCAGACAGACTGTTTCTGGATAAATCTAACAGTTCCAGGCTTAGCAAGTGGTTAAATTTACTTGGAATAGGGCCTTCCAAATTATTATTTGCCAAGGACAGAATATTCAAATCCAAAAGCCCCCCAATGGTGCTTGGTATAACACCGGATAAATGGTTATTTGATAAATCTACCTCTAGGACAACTTTCAAGTTTCCAATATCTTGTGAGAGAGGTCCAATTAGAGAATTGGATGATAAGTTTACATGCAAGATATAGGCCAGTCTCCAGAGAGTAGATGGTATTGTGGAACTCAACAAATTGGACTCCAGTGATAGAGTTCTGAGAGATCCGGCTAGACTGCCCAAGCAGGAAGGTATAGAACCAGTAAGTTGATTTCCACCCAGATATAAGTAACCTAGGTTGTCTAGTTGACAAAGTTCATATGGGATATATCCTTCCAACTTGTTGTCATTCAAATACAAACCTTGGAGATTTCTTAGTCTTTCCACAGAAGTTGGAATTGATCCGGTCAATTGATTGTATCCCAGGTTTAAGTCTATCAAGCTGCTCGAGTTGCCAATATCAATGGGAATGTTACCCTTCATGCTGCAACCTCTTAAATCAATATGTTGAAGCGACGATATAGAGCAATTCCGAAAGGAATCATCAAGTCTAGCATTTAACGGATTAGCTGCCAAGAGTAGTCTTTTCAAATTTCCATGATTAGCCAAACAAGAGAGAGTGGAAGTCTCAATCGTCAAATTATTCATGTATAAGTTAAGGCACTCAAGGTTTGTTAAGGCACAGAGCGTGCTTGGAATAAACCCTGTAAATGAGTTTAGGTGCAATTGTAGGTGCGTGAGCATAGAAGCATTGGAGAAGTTGGGGATTACTCCGCTGAGGTCATTTGCTTGTGTATAAAGACGTTGTATGTTTGGAAGCCCAAGGCCTATGTTTGCAGGGAGGCTACCAGATAGCTGATTCATACCAAGAGTCAGTACTGTTATCTTGGACATATTGAAGATTGAGGATGGGATACTGCCTGCAAAAATTTCACAACCCCTTGAGCAAAACACGTTTACGTAAGTTCTAATCATCGATTGGCTGCATGTGTCTTTATGCTTTTTTTTTTTTTTTGACTTCGATAGAACCTTTATTAGACAAGTCAATCTATTTTATTCTGATCATAGTTGAACAACCAATATTCATGGTTAACTATCTCCCCCATTACTAACTATGAAATAAATTTAACTACTAAAATAAGATATGAAACAAGACAGACATTTAACTAAGTTGGCTAGAATGGATGTGCTCCCCACTCTGCAACCGAGTTCGAACCCCCTCTCCTTAATTTAGATTAGATTAAAGTAGAATATCGTTTGTATTATATATATATATATATGAAACAATTTTTTGGGGGTACAAACTACTAAATAGTTAAATAATGATAAATTATGCAACCAAACACAAAAGATAAATAATGATTTATGCATTTATAATGCACCGCAACAAAAGCCGAGTCATAAATAACTTTATCACATACAAATGCGCGGCAATGAATGAAACAATATACCTTTGAAATTGTTGCTGTCCAAGTATATCTCCTTCAACATTGTTAAGTTCCCTAATTGTCTTGGTATCCCACCTGTTATGTATGCCTAAGAGTTAGAATATATTTGAATATATGTTAGGTTTTGTTTAGCTACTGTTGTTTTTAGCTTTCCTTGACAAACATATAATCTCATATGTATATATGATCAAGCTCAAAAAATTTAGGCTAGTTCAAGTTAGTGCTAAGTTGACTACATTGGCTGAGATCAACTTCATAATTGCCCAATGCAATCAAGCTTAGTGAATGTAAGACTTTTATATATGCATTGCATGCATTATAGTGTTCTCCAGCATGCATCATTAGTTGTCATGTATCCCAACATGAATAGACCCAACTACCCTCACAGTTAAAAACCAAATACAGAATCTCTTCAAGTGAGATTTCTTTAGTATTGCATGACCTGCAAGTAATAAAAACGGAGTCTAATTTTCTAAAGAAAAAAGAACAAATTGGACTTATAGATTAATATCAAAATGTTTAAAACGTAATGATAGACCAACAGTAGAGGAGTCTAGATAATCTAGATAACCTGTTGACACATACGTACCTGATAGTTGGTTAATGCTTAGATCAATTACTTGTAGTGTAGATAAGTTGAAGATAGTCGCGGGTATGGAACCTGAAAAATTATTACCATACAAATAGAAGCTTTGAAGTTTGGGGAAGGACCCAAACCACGATGGAATGGATCCCATGAAATTGTTGTATCCGAAGCTAATAAACCTCAAGCGACGCAAATAAGACAATTCATGGGGCAAAGTACCATGGAAGCTGTTATTTTTGAAGCTTAGTGCAACAAGGAATGAGAGGTTGCCTAAGTGTGGTGGAATGGTGCCAATAAAACCCATGTATGAGAGATTCAATGATGCTACTCTGAGATGGCGAGCACCACAAGTAACGCCAACCCAGTTGCAGACGGAGGTGGTGGTTGACCAGTTGACCAAGATGTTGTGAGGGTCACTGGTGATATGGGATCTCAGAGCAAGAAGAGCAGCCTGGTCCGTGGTGATGTTGGTTTGTGTTGCATCTGTGCCGATAGTTAATTCAGCCATATATAGAGAACTGTACTGCAGCACCAGCAAGAACGTGATTGACAAGAGGAAATGATTTCTCTCCTCCATGAGCACCGCAAACAGAGAACTTTTCCTTCCAACTGCAAAGTGTGTTTCCTTTTCTTTTTTTTCCCCAAATGAAAATTGAAATCATTGAATAATAGTAGTTGCAAACAGAGACAAGTTGGCAATGAGTGGGGCACATGATTGCACCGTGAGGGATGGAATCCTTGTCCTAAAGGCATCTGTTTCCGAGACACCACGGCGTTTCCCCTATGCAACGACGCAGACTCGTAATTAAGGAAGAATTGACAATGGGCATCTCTTCTTCACAAAAGTAGGAGAACTTTACAACCTCATAAAACGCCCAGGTGGCCCAACCAATGCTTTACGCTCTTAGGCCACCTTCTTCCAAAACTCAATTATTTTACACACACAAACACATGATCTTTCATTCCCAAAACTACTAATCGTATGTCTGTGATTCCAAAGCCCATTTCTAAGTTGAATCCATTTTTGGAAAAAATGATTATTTGAAAAATTGGTGAAAATCTGAATACGAACAGACATGTATATTGTAAAAAGAAAATAAGCATACGGTGCTGGTCCATGAGACAATTGGAGTGAACAGAAAGGTTGAAGCTTCAGATCCAAAATCCAATCTTTCCGTCCCCTCCCTATGCACCAAATTCTCCATCTCTACCACATGATTGCACCGTGAGGGATGGAATCCATGTAACCCTACCTCATTTCTATCATTATAGTCAAGTGAAAGAGAGGGGACATGCAAGATGCGTATAGATGTGGAATAGTTTGAGTGACACTATACTTGTAGGATTGCAATGCAAGTAATATAACAAGTCTTTGAGGGTTGTTGTAGGTCAATTTCCATAAGAGTAGTGCTATTTGTATTACATTTACTGACCAAATTGTTGATCACCTCTATGTGGGTCCCATATACATTAGATGGTCAATAAATATGGTACAAATAGTATTATTATTTCTATAAAGACATTTATCATAGCAAGTAGTAAGGTATATTGCAATCACGGCTAATACTCATCGAGCAAGTATATCCCAACATTAAATTTAAGTTTAATAAATATATGGGTTTCAGAGAGATTGGCGAAGAATTTAATTATCAAGTGGCTCCTTTGGTGATTTGGAAACCACAAGTGGGGATGGAATCAAATTAATTAATTGACATTTGAACATGACATGAAAGGAATTGAAACTGACCTTAGAAAAACCAACGGCCCTGTGAGAATTTGGCGTGGTTCACTCCAATTAATATTGTAGGACTTTGTCAGAATTCGGTTTCTAAACTCCAACATTGTAGATTCCTCTAAAAGAGGAAAAAAAAACTTGTATGAAACAGAGATAGCACTGTTTTGCTATCCTCAACTAATCATAAACTGCCACATGAAAAAGTTATTACGGGTGGCACCATGATTGACCGGGAATAGCAAAATAATGTTATCCCCATTTCACACAAGTGTTTCTCCTAAAAGAGACTTAATAGCACCAGTCCCAAGATACCATGTTTGTCAATGAGAACATCTAAGAAGAAAATAAACCAAAATTGCTGATTCTAATTAGAAAAGAACAAAACTTAAGGGCACGTTTGTTTAGGAAGATTTGGATTTGAGAGTCCAAATCCAAATCTTTATGTTTAGGCCAAGTTTCATGGAGTTGATTTGAATTTAGATAAAATCTAGTGTGAATCTGAAATACCAAATAAAACATTACTGAAACGACATTTAATAAAAATATCACCATTACGGGCATTGGACCTCAGGGACATATTTAAAAGGCATCACTGGACTAGTGTTTTGTATCACCGCCAATATCTTCCTCTATTTTTGTTTTTTCCTTTTTTTTCATAAATGTTTTCATTGACTTTGTATTTCTTCATTTTTTGCTTCAAAAATATCTAGTTATTCAGGCTCAATGACATCCAAGTCATTCTGCTTTAGGTTTTCGGCAACTACCTCCCAACCGAAGGATCCAAACCGAAAAGATGTTTACTTCCCTTGAGTTAAGGTAAGCAACTCAAGGTTTGTCAAGGTAGAAGATTTATTATATGGAAGATCTTGCATGTCCGTCCGATGGGGTTGATGTGTTTGCTATAACACATTCAGTTTCTGGTCTAGTCATGTTCCATGTATATTTTAATATTTAGGAGAAAGGTAGGTGACCGTGAGGATGGAGATGGATGCATGCATGGAAATCATCATGTCATCAAATTAATATATGATCATATCCAAACATTCAGTTATTCTGTTTTTTTTTGTTTTTTGGGTAATTAAAATATTTAGTTATTGAGAGCTTCTATAATGATGCTTCAACCCAAGTTTGTTGCTTCTTGGCATGGGGTAGCAGCAGTGGAGCTCCCAAAAACCCTCCTCTGGCATGGGGTAGCAGCCGTGATTTATGCATATATAATGTACTGCAACAAAAGCCCAGTTATATATATATATATATATATATATATATATATATATATATATATATATATATATATATATATATATATATATATATATATATATATATATATATATATATATATATATATATATATATATATATATATATATATATATATATATATATATATATATATATATATATATATATATATATATATATATATATATATATATATATATATATATATATATATATATATATATATATATATATATATATATATATATATATATATATATATATATATATATATATATATATATATATATATATATATATATATATATATATATATATATATATATATATATATATATATATATATATATATATATATATATATATATATATATATATATATATATATATATATATATATATATATATATATATATATATATATATATATATATATATATATATATATATATATATATATATATATATATATATATATATATATATATATATATATATATATATATAACTAGATCACACACGTATATGATTAGGCCGTTTATGCATCAAGGCAAGGCAAGGCAATAAATCATAATTTGACTAACTAAATGAAATATCAATTACCTGTCAAATTGTTGATGCCAAGATAAATTTCCCTTAACTGGGTTAAGTTTCCTATTTCTTTTGGTACCCTCCCTGTTATGTATGCCAAAGACACATAAAACAAGAAGGTCAAATGTAATGATTGATCAACAATAGATTCTTAGATAGCGTGTTGATATATACGTGCCTGATAGTTGATTTTCTGTTAGATCAATTACTTGCAATGTAGATAAGTTGAAGATAGTCGAGGGTATGGAACCTGAAAATTGATTGCCATACAATTTGAAGGTTTGAAGTTTAGGGAAGGACCCAAACCACAACGGAATGAGTCCCATAAAATTGTTGTATCCGAAGCTAATCAACTTCAGCCGATGCAAATAAGATAATTCATGGGGCAAGGTGCCGTGGAAGCTGTTGTTTATGAAGTGCATCTGAACTAGATATGAGAGGTTGCCAAGGTTCGGAGGAATGGTGCCGGTGAGTCCCATGTGAGAGATGTTTAAGACTGAAACTCTAAGGTGGCGAGCACCACAAGTAACACCAACCCAGTTGCAAACAGAGGTGGTGGCTGACCAGTTGACCAAGATGTTCTGAGGGTCACCGAGGATATGGGCTTTCAGAGCAAGAAGAGCACCCTGGTCCGTGGTGATGTTAGTTTGTGCTGCACCTGTGCCTCGAGTTGATTTAGCCACATATATACAACCATAGAGTACCAGCAACAACGTTATTGACAAGAGGAAATGACTTCTCTCCATGAGCACTGAAAGCATAGAGAAGTTCCTTCCAACTTCAAAGTCTATTTCCTTTTCTTTTTTTCTTTTTCTTTTTCCAATTGAAAACTTGAAATCATTGAAAAATTTGTTGCAATGGCAGTCTATGAAGATAGAACAAGTTGCCAAAGAGTGGGGCAAATGACATAGACGGGTAAGAAAGGAAGAACGGCCTCACTCTTTGGCAACTTGTTCTATCTTCATAGACTGCCACTGCAACAAATTTTTCAATAACGTCTATGTCATTTGCCCCACTCTTTGGCAGCTTGTTCTATCTTCTATTTCGTTTAGGTGTACTATTTTTGCATGGTGGAACCTTGAGCTGTAAGAGTGCTTGTAACTATGCTGCTAAGATAAATCTCCCTTAACTGGGTCAAGTTGCCAACACTTTTGGGTATGCTTCCATCGAAATTGTTAAACCCCAAGGATAATATAAGAAGCTCTTTGCATTGCCGTAATTTGGATGGGAGTGGACCACCAAACTGATTGTAAGAGAGAGACAATCGTTGAATACTTGGAAGATGATGACATATAGCGTCTGGAACACTACTACTCGAGTTGTTTCCTGAGAGAGCTAAATTAGTTAAACAAGACATGTTGAAGACAAACGCAGGAACATGACCCTTTAGGGCATTGAATTGCATAGACAACCCCTCCACCAAAGAGCTGATCTCGTTTGGAATTTCTGGAAGGGAAAAAAAAAAAAAAACAGTAGGTACATAATAACATTGGAGAGTTGGGATAATGGGCTTGGCTATAGGTTCAGCTTTGGATTTGGCGCTGATTAATAATAATTATATTAATCAAAGACACGGACCTTGGGGCTCCTGGGCTTTGGAAAAATTTAATTAAGACACCCAAACGAAAATAAGCATTTTATTTTTTTCATTTTTGACATATCCTTTCAATTTAAATTTGAATGAAATTAGGTTTGAAAATTGCACAAAATAATTTAAAATACTTAATTACTATTTATTGAGCAATTTATGAAATAAGTAACATATTTAAATATTCGCTAAAGAAATAATAATTAAAACATAACTACTAATTAAAGTAATTCAAAAAGGCTAAGATATTACTTAATTACATATATTAAATTAAAGAAGTTGGCCAAAAAGAAAAAGTAAAGAAACTAATTTTATATTTTTAAAATTAAAAATTTTAATAAAAATTAAATAAACACTTCTCCCGACAAAATTTCATCGGCACAGGTCTATGCCGGCAAAAATTTGCCGGATTAGGTTTCTTGCGACGAAAATACCTCTGCCGACGAAATTTCGTCGGGAGAGGTCTTCTTAAAAAAAATAAATATAAACTTAGGATATTTAAAGGTTAATTAATTTTTTAAAATTTTATTGTTAGTAATTAAATAACATATTTGCCTTATTTAATTAGTTAAATTAGTATTTATATTTTAATCATTATTTATTCAGTGAATAATTAGTATTGATTTTTTTAATTAACTTCATGAATTATATTACTTAATAAATAGTAAGTTTCTGAGTCTCACCAACTTCATTCTCCCTGCCGTCTAATTTATCACCCAAATATAGTAGCATTTTGTGTTACTTAAACTTCTTAATTAATAAACACTCACTATTCTAAACATTGTGTCAGTACTTCAAATGTATTGCTATATTTTGAACTAGAATACAGTAGGTAATCAGTTTAAAAATTATCAATGTATGAATGCCTTTGTGTTAAAAATAAATAGATAGTGTATATTAGTAAGCATGCCTTTGTATTACTGATTGCTGCGACCATATCTTGCTTGGCCTGTTTTTCATATTTTATACATCTTTGCTTTATTTGTTAATAAATCTAGCTGAGTTTCATATTCTTGTTTTTACTAAATTCTCCTATTCGATTTAACGTGCAAATATCACATTTCCTTCCGCACCTTTGTTGTTAATTGACTCGATGGAAGTCTAATAGGTACATGCAAGCAGTGGTAGATGAAATTGGAGTTTGGGTAAGCTTTTGAAGGAGTTTATGACAATTTCTGGGAAACTACTGGATGGTGAGCTGATACATTATTATCCTTGTCCTGCATTTCCTGGTTTGTTTGACGTAAATTCTCATGGAATGGATATTCTCCAGATTCATTTGCCGGAATTACAGAGGAAGCTTTATTAAAATCTCTTGCACACTCACATGAACTAAACTCTGTAGATCTTGATGACATTCACCTTCCAAACTTGCCAAGACCGCCAAAGGCCTTCAGAGGAATCCGCAAGAAGAGCTCTTCATTGAAACGTTGGCTTGCTATATGCTCTGATGATTTGACTAAGTGAGTGAACTTTGTGCTTGTGTGTGCGCATAATACCCATATTTGAGCATGCTATTTTTATTTTGTGTCATTTCGTTTTTGCTTTTTACCTTTTACAATATTATGAGTTTTATCATCCCTTGATATGTCTAATGTAGGAACGGACGGTACCATGCTACTACTAGCCTCCTCCGCAAGTACCTTGGAGGTTTTTTAATTGTTTCATACTTGGATGTTATTGAAAAGTCTGGTTACGATGATGCATATGTGAAGGAAGTTGAAGTAATAATCTTCTCGTCAAGCATACTTTAATTTATTTTTTTCATATCTACAATAGGTGATGAATGCTAACATGGATCTATTAACTTATGATTATATTGCCTTTAAGAAGAAAAAAAATATACCTGCACCTCTAAGTTGGAAGATTTGTTGCTATATGATTACGTAAATATGACACCTGCTTAATGGTTCTAAATAAATGAGTTTGAGTTTGAGTTTGCTCTAGAAATGGGATTATTTACTTTGATTCCAGGTGAAATTCCAGTTTTCTAGGTTTAAGTTTAGAAGTAGAATAATCCTTTTGCTTACAGATTTTCTTATCAGTAGTTATTATGCTCATTTATTCTTTAGTAGAACTACCAGCACCTTACCTGTTTTTATAGTGTTCCTTTTGACAATTAATTTTTTTTCTTAACTAAAATTTCATCTGAAAACAGAGAGCAGTTCTGGTGAAAACCCTTGATTGTTTCTGGAGGGACCATCTTGTAAACATGAACAG